GCGACCCCAAAAACCGTAGAATACCAAATTTTATTAAGATCCTGAAAAACTTTTTTCAACAAACCATTTGGCAAAAAAATTGAAACACTCCTTCGAGAGAACAGAGATTAAGTTTCTGCTTATTAATTACTAACGAGGATACGTATAGAAAGAAAAACTTTTTTCTATGTACTTTTATAATGTTAAAATAATAGTGTAATCAAATAAAAACAATTTTGTGTGGCTTTGATGTAAAAAAAAATTATTAAAAATACCGTTCGGATTTACCCCAGTTTTCCAATTTTCTTGGGTAAATACGAACGGTCTGATATTATTAATAAAATTTTACAGAAGGCAAAAATCAAATATAGTTTCTGTTCTAGTATTCATAACAAACAATTATAAATAATAAAATGAATTTTTAGCTTCTTTTTCTTCAAATACGAGACAAAATACTGAAAGAGTGTCATCTTTGATTTTCAATCTTTTTTGCAATACTTGTTATCTTTGTTTATGCTGTTGCTAATTAACAAACAAAAAATGGGATAATACTTAGAATCTCTTCAAGAGGATCTGAGTTAAAAATTCTCATATCGAACTTATTTTTAAAAATTTTAATTAAGCTGAAATAATTAGCGTTCGGATTTACCCCCCGTTCGGATTTACCCCGACTGACCCTAATTCAAATTAGTAAACTTTTTTACTAATTCAGATTTAGAGAGTACTTATTGTCAAATAAAAATTTTTGAAATCAAATAATTGAACTTTATTTAAAGCAATAATTTCTGTATTTAAAACAAATACGATTTAATTGACTCAATATAATTATTTAAATAAAAAATATTTATTTGATAAATAGTCGATTATTTGAATTAAATTTTTTTTTCGACTATTTATAACAATTTTATCATTGTTAATATAATTAAATGATATTATGATTGGATAATTGGACAAAAATGTAATCACTCGAAATGAATCATTGATTGATAATAGTTTTGATAATTTGTAAGTGAATCATTATACATGTATCATCAATGGATAAGAATAATATATCAATATAGAAAATATAAAATTCTAACTACCAAAGAGAATTGAAATTTTTTTTTCCCTCTACTTTATATATAGACAAACTTGCAACATTTGATCGTAAATTAGAAATAAAAAATACGAATTTAATAGTTAGATCACGATATGTCACGTTATGACTCACGAAACACTTTGTAACAAGTACTAAAACAAATGCATAAAATTTAATTTTTCCACTTCTATGTACAAGATAAAAAAAAAATTTTCTCTTGTCTAATCTGGCTTTCAAATTATAATACCTTATGGGAAAAAAAAAATTCAAAAAATTATTAACATTACAGGAAAACAAGTTCTGCAATTATCTTTCAAAACTCTGATTTTTTTGGTACTAATTTTTTTATTTTGAAAACTATTTTATTATTATTATTATTATTATTATTATTATTATTATTATATTATTATTATATTATTATATTATTATATTATTATATTATTATATTATTATTTATTTATTTATTTATTATTATTATTATTATTATTATTGTTTTACTATTTTATTTCATTATTTATATTAATTTATTATTTATTACACTGAAAAAAAAATTTATTTGGATCAAATAAAAAGTATTTGATCCAAATACAACATTTACTTGTCTATTTATCCAATAAATATGTATTTGAACCAAATACACATTTACTAAACCTAAGTATATTTTATTTTATCGTATCAAATAAATAGTTATATTTGAATGAAATACAAAGTATTCAAATCAAATACCTAAATGTATTAGGATTAAATAATGAATTATTTGTATAAAATAATTCAGTTTATTTGAATCAATTACATTAAATTTATTATGTCAAAAACTTTTTATTTGTATCAAATAAACGAAATATTTGAGTGAAATAAATGAATGAATAGTTTCAAGTAACTTATTACTTGTATTAAATAAATTCCATTTATTCAATTCAATTAATTATTTAATTGAACCGCAAATACGATTTATTTGGTTCAAAATAAAATGCGATTCAAATAAATTCAAGTTATTTGAATCAAATACATATTTTTTTTTGATCCAAATAAAAAGTATTTTGAACCAATTAAATATTTTTCAAATAATTTGAAGTATTTGAATCAAATAAATTTTTTTTTCAGGTGTACCTTATTTATTAATTATTTATTTTAAAAATCCGTTTTGTAATTCGAGCAAAACGAGAGGAAAAAAACTAATTTTGCAAAAAGGAACGAAAAGAATATTTTGAATCATTTATAAAAAACAAAATAATTTTTTTTAAAATAATATACAAAATGCATATTTCTAAATATATAGAAGAAATTTCAAAATATATATAATAAACTTTTTCATATATAGAGTTTATATGTGGTTAGGAATTATTGTGTCTTAAGATGAAACACAGTGGAAAAAAGAGGTCAGTGGCTGAAGAACAGAGAGTGTGCATTTGAATGTGTTGATTACTATTCATTTTTTGCTCACTCAATGGAAACCCATAATGAAAACTTTCCTTTCCTGTCGCTCAATTGTAATTATATTATGAAATGCTGTCAATAGCCTTCGTATATATATATAGAAAAATTATTCTTCCCTCGATTAAAAAAAAATAAAAAAATATATTACATTTTATAACCAAAATCATTTGTTTTTTAAAATGAAATTATTTTGCCAAAATAATATTTTATATTTAATACAAATAAATAATTATTTGAAAATAGTCGCCTATTTGAAATAAATTTTTTTCGTACAAAAAAAAATAATATGATATTATTATTATTATTATTATTATAAAAAAATTATTATTATTATTTCAATAATATTAAATTTATCACTTGGTGAGTGTATATTAAAGTTGTTAAAATTTAATAATAATTATTATTATTATTATAAAAAAATAATAGAATTATCTATATGTGTAGAAAATTTTTTGTGCTCTTGTAAATATCGATCTGTCCCCACTTGTATAATGGACAGAGCAATCGGGAAATATCTGATTTCAAGGCAATAGGTGAAGAGTCTTGATTCGTAAGAATCGTGACTGCTCTTATAACCACTCCCGCAAGTCAGATGCTTTAAAATCATGTCTCACGATTGTTTGCGCTCGATCAGATTGATACTTTATTATTATACCGCATTCCAAAGACAATGGTGTTACCACTCAAATTGTTTCCCACCCTACAAAAATGTGTCAAGTCTTTTAAAAACCATTATTACACTTATTGCAGAAAAAAAAGAAGAGAAAAATCCTAAAACAAAATAATTATAGAAGAGAAAATAGAAAATATAGATTTTATATATTTAGAATTTTACTCTCAGTTTAATTTTAATCATTATTGATATGACAATTAGTTTTTAAAAAAAAAAATTAAATTTCTCTTCATATATTACAAATTAAACAATTGTAACTATCTGTAAAAAATTCATAAGTGCTGTTTTTAAAACCCCTACCGATAAAATTATACATTTTAAACATTTAAGATAACTGGTATTTAATACACTTATACTTTAATCTATTATTATTCATTTAGATAATTGATATCTTTAAAAAAAAGCGGATTAAATAGAAACCGCAAATGGTTTTGTTATTTATGATCTAGGCGTCTTGAGATAAAAGCTTTTATTTTTAAATATTTATGTTCCTATATATATATCATATCTTACACAGACGAAAAGTTATTAAAATTTTTTTTTTTTTGAATTTATTATTGCCAAATAAAAAAGAAAAATATTGCCAAATAAAAGAATTGTGCCAAATATTAAAAAATAGTACCAAATACTAAAAAAACCAAATACCAAAAAATAATTATTTAATTTAAAATTAAAAATTTTATTGTGAAATTTTGATTTTGTAGAGAAATTTTGATATTATATCAAACTTGACGTTTAAAATGACAAGTAAGATTATTAATGATGATTAATTCAGAAAAATTTTATTTTATTTCACACTCAATAAACGCCGTTAATCGTAGGCGTTTATTAAACATATAATGATCAGCGTTACTTGTTTCATGTCATAAACAATAAAATTTTACAAGAAACTTTTTTTAAACCGTATTTCCTATAATAATAATAATAATAATAATAATAATAATAATAATAAATAATTGATTCACTATTTTATATCGAATATTTTTTTCAAATTTTAGAAATGTTTTTAAAATTTAGTTTAATTAAATGCAAGTCAATGAAATATCAACTAATCAGAAAATGATATTTTCTAAAACAAAAAATAATAAAAGAAAAAAAAATGTGACAAAGGTGGTGATCCATTATAAAAAAAAAAAAAAAAAAAATATGACATGAAGTAGACTTTGCGCCCAATGAAATATACAAGTGTCATGAAAAGCAGTTGACGTTTGGATGAAAGAATAAAAAGTGTAACATCCTTTTATATTCATCCTTGCGAAAGATACGAGTTCGTTGAAGAAGCAACTTTGAGTTAAAAAAAAAAAATTTTTATTTATATGTGAAGCCGCACCCAAGCAATGTGCCTTGAATAACGTAATAATTTCTGAGTGTTCTCTCTCTCTCTCTCTCTTTCTTTCTCTGTATTCTCTTGTATACCTACTTCTTTCATTAAATCAAAACTAAATGACTACTTATTCATCGCGAAAACCGTTGATAATCGTAGGCTTAAAGGGATTTATGTGAACTGCGGTTGGATTTCAGATTGTCTTTTTTTTGTTTTTTTTTTTAAAAAAAAATCTTGCTCGCGGTTGGCAATGATGCGTAAATAAAGTTGTTATACTTGGAATAAACGACAAGATTAACACCAACGAAAGGGACAATAAAAGGGAAGATCTTATTTTAAGAATGAAATATATAACTCCAGGGACGAAATGTGTCTCCATTAGGACTGATGAAGAGGGTTATATTCACAATTTTAGTTTCCTCTATTTTTTTTTTAAACGCGACAAAAATAAAAAATTTTACACATTTATTTTTCTTTATTAAAAAAGAAATATTTTTTTTTTGTTTCAGGCCCAGTAAATGGTAGAATGGACAATTGTGAAGGCGGTCAACGCCTACCCCCCGATGGGGATGAATTTCCAGCAGCTTATCAGGAATACACAAATCCTGGCCAGTATCAATTTGTAGCCAGTACAAATATAACGACAATGGCAACAAATGGAAATTTATTATGTCAAAATCAGACATACGTCACAAGCGAAAGTTTTCATCCAAAGACCAATAATAATAATCATAATAATAATAATAATCAATCATCAATTGAAAAAATTCACATTGTCTCACAATGTGTTGTCGATCATATTAATGTCAATGATCCCAAATATAAACCAAAACCCATTGTCATTTCAGAGAGAAAAATTGAAATTGCTGGTTATTATCCAAAAGAAGTGCCATCAATTGATTCTGAATTTAAAACAGATGATAATCCACCACCATTACCACTCACTGAACCACCAAAAGTTGATAATTCATTAATTCGCAATAATTCCGATCAATCGACAAGAAAATTCTCCTCAAATGGTGAACTTTGGCGACAAGATGACAAATCAGAACGATCAGTGAGGGATAAAATTGCAATGTTCTCATCGCAAAGTAGCATTGAGGTTCCTTTATTTCCTAATCAATCGACAAATTCTACGGGAAATAATAATAGTAATAGTAGTTGTAGTAATAATAGTAATAATAGAAGATTATCTAAGCACAAATCATCAGATGATGTTTTCATTGATGAGAAAGTACAACAGAAAGAATTCCCTAAATCTGTTGAGAGAACTCAAAGCTCTTTTGATATTTCCTCAACTAATCAAGTGACAAGTCCAATAAAATTCCCCCAACGACCACCTAGTCTTCCAAAAAGTTCTCCACCAACAGAATCTGGTTTTAATTTTTCAAAATCAATAACAAAATCTCCAGATGCAAAACAGTATTCATCATCGATTAGTGCCTATGGAATTAAACCCTATATGAAAAATAATTTGGATTCATCCATGGAATCTGGATTTAATAAATCTTTTGAAACATTCAATACGAAGAGTTCAACACCAACTTTGGTTAGAGCGACGAGTTTCTCAGGTGGCAGTAGTTTCAATCACGAACGTCCGCAGACCTCGAATGAAGTACTTTCGACACCACAAATTTCCAGAACAAACTCCTTGGTTTCTACATTTAGAAAACCAAACGAGGAATTACGACGAAGTAGTTTAAACCAACTCATCGAACAGAGGCGAAAGGGAATATCAAAATTACGCGGTCTCGTTATACCCGAAAAAGACGCTGTTCCGGTCGATCAAGCCATCACCGACCTTCCGGAAATCAAATCCAGGGATTCTATTTTAATAAATCAGGTTTGTCTATACTTATCCAATTTGTAAAATTCTTTTTTATAATTACATGCATTGCTTAATTATTGATGTTTTAGGTACCAAAGTCAAGTATCCAAGACAAATGGGGATCCCAGAGTTCTCTAGCCAGTAACGCGAGTACAGTAAATCTTCCCGTAAAAGCAACCACCTCGTTCAAAATGCCAGCACCTCAAATTCTTTCAAAATATTCACCGGCCTTTAAAAGAAAAAGCCTATCAGTCTACAATACATCAAATACTATTTCACCTTCCAATTACAATACCAATACAAAAGTAATAAATAATTCAGCATTAACTACCGATGCACCCAAAAGTTTAGAAAGTATATGCAGTCCCACAAGAAGTGACTACAGTTTTGAGTATCTATCATCAACAGGTTCACCGGAAAATGTACGTTGCACAAGACCAAAATTAGGACAAAAGAAAATCAGAGATTACGATGATTCCGATAATGATTCAGCTGTCAGTAGTTCACAAAGCAGTATTTCCCGTGGTTTTAGCCCACCAATGTCACCAGTACCATCCGATAGATCCACAATATCATCAGACAGATCATATATTTCATCAGAAATGAATTATCAACGTCGAACACTAATTCTCGATGGCCCTCTGAAAAATAACGAATCAATTATTTCTGAAGGGAATACTTTTTCCAGACAAAGTATTATTAGCTATCCAACATCTTCGGAAAGATCATCTTCCAGTGGTAGTTCAAATCCAAGATCACCAATCGAAACTAGTAAAAATTCTCTAATACCCCAACGACAAATTTTGAAACGAACTTGTAGCAACGATACCAATTGTAGCAGTTCCTCGACTCTAACTTCTGGATCCCAGGTAAAATACCAATAAATTTATTAACCTGTAAATTACCGTGAAGCCTAAATTTCGGCTTTTGCTAAACGCCATCTGTTAAACCTAAACATTGTTAATAAAATTTTGATTTTTCAGGCAAATGCAGAATCTTTATCGCGAAGAGTTCTAAAACCCCAGAGCGTGGAAGCCATTAACAGAAAGAACATTCTTGCAAGTGCCAAATGTCGAAGTGGAAGAGATTTGAATGGATCGCCTCTAATTCAAAGGAAATTTTCCGATGACGAAGAAGTACCAGAGCAAAATAACAGTTACCATAATCAAGCCATCAATGGAAATGGTGAACAACACGAGGAGGTAAAAATTGCCTACATTGAAATAACAGAGGATTTCAATGAGAAACCAATAGAAAAGCAAGATGAACCGAAATTACCACCAAAGAGAAGTATACCACAACCAGTTGGCAGGCCACCGAAACCCGAAAATTTAGAACCATCCAACGATCTAAAAATGTGGGTTCGCACTGAAGTGAAAAATCTCGCTGAAAAGACTTCAAATGAAAAGACAATTCAATTGAAATCAAGAAGTCGATCATCATTGACATTGGATGAGCCAACAGCTACTGATCTTCTTGGAACGAGAAATCGAATAGGCAATGAATTAAATGAGATGGAGAAAAATAAAAATCCCAATGACAATGATTTATTAACTATTTTGACAACAAAAAGCAGATCCAGGTAATTAAAATGCAAAAAAAAGTATTAACAGTTTTTAACAAAATGGTTACAAAATTAATTTGTTTCAGATCAGCGATTCACGTTGAAGAGAGCTGTTATGGAAAATCAAAAAGCCAAATGAGTCTCGAGGATATTTTGACAATAAAAAATGAGCCAAAATTAACGCGAACACAAAGTGTCACTATGGAGACAAATGGATCAAATTTTGAAAAAACAAATAAAGATACAAAATCACGAAAATCAAATACAACTGACACGTGGAGTGATGAAAGAATATTTGCGTCAAAAATTCCCGCTTTAAATAGACCAAAAGTAAATTCCGAGGATTCATCAACGGAAATTGGGGAAAAATCGAGAAATTTAGTATCAAAAATACCAACATCAAAAAGTTTAGGTCGACGTTCTGCTAGTGTCACCGATATGAAAAAGGCATTTGAAAAAACAGATTCAAGTGGAATAATTTCTCAGCAAAATCATAATCGTTTTCCAAGTTTAGATAGCAGTGTAACTGAGGAGAATATTGAAGGTGTTAATGAAAGATTTTCCAATGAACAATTTGGTAGTATTAGTTCATTGGCAAGTAGTACGAGTTTAATTTCACAACAGGAATTAGCACAATTGGTTGAGGAGGCAACATTAGAAGAGACACGTGGTTCACATGATATTATTGTTGTTCTACTTCATAAGGAGAATCCATCGGGTAGCGTTGGTATAACATTGGCCGGAGGTGTTGATTGTGAAGCTAAAGAAATTACAGTACATCGTGTATTGTCACATTCAATTGCCGATAAAGACGGTAGGGTACAAAGAGGTGATCGAATTTTAAGCATTAATGGCAGAAGTACACGGGGTCTTTCACATCGTGAAAGTCTTGCTGTTCTAAAACAACCTAGGTCCGAGGTGGTGCTAGTCGTATCAAGAGCAAGATTAGAAGATGGATGTAAATTAAGAGCACGTACCGAAAGTGTCGAGACTATTGTGGAAGGTATTTAATTTTTTTTAAATGTTAAAAAGAGTTTTTCAAATTTCCCGATTAAAAAGTAACCGACATCTGACAATGTTATCGCAAAGTTTGTATTTATCGACATATTCTGTTTTACCGATTGATGATAATAAAGAGAATTTAATGATATTTTACTATCGGTAAAACAGAAACAAATTTTGGCGCGAAATTTGAAATTCAAACGAGACAAATTATAATAAATCGTAAGAAATAAATAAATAATTATTACTTACAGGATATGAGATGAATGGTGGGGTTGAAAACACAGCATGGGGACCACCTTCGACTGTAGCAATTTATAAAGATGGAGCTGGTCTCGGATTTAGTCTGGAGGGTGGAAGGGACAGTCCTCTTGGTGATAGACCTTTAATAATTAAAAAAATATTCACAGGTGATTAATAAAATTAAATTTTTAACTATTAAGAACAAAAAGGCTTTAAATAAAAAATTTTATTTATTTTTTATAACTTATTTAATTTATTAATTTCATTTTTTTTAATTAATTTTTTAATTTAGTGGTAAATTTGATGGAAATTAAATTTTTGCAGGAGGTGCTGCAGAAAAAACAGGTGCTTTAAAAGCAGGTGATCAATTACTCGAAGTAAATGGAAATGACGTTACAAAAATGTCAAGGATAGAAGCGTGGTCCTTAATGAAAAAATTGCATGATGGAGAAGTAAATCTCCTAGTCAGGCACCCTGCCACAAAGTCATCGTGAATGGTAGTCAATCCTTTTTTTCTATTATATAAAAATAAGCATAAAATATGGTAGAAAAAAAATAAAAAACGACTGCATAGCTTTATTTCTATACTCTAAAAAAAAGCTTTCAATTTTGAAAAATATTTAATTTCTTTTTCAATACCGAAAAAACACTAATTATTTTTTTTTTTTTGTTATTTATCCGTAGATTCTGACACAGTTTTTTTTCTTTTACTGTTCTATATATAAGTTAATATTGTCAATTTTAGAATAGAAATATTATACATATATTTGATTTTATTATTTGTGTGTGCTATTATTTTTTAATGATACAAATGTATACGCAATTCTTGTTATAAGTCTTGAACTGCTTGAACACCAAAATGAAAATGCCTTAAAAGATTAAAAATTTCATTATTTTATAGTGAAATATAAAATATTCTTTATATCATTTTCATTTCTTGAAAATATCAGGGTAAAAAATTATTAAAAAATAATTTATGGGAAAAATAAGAATTCATTTTCCACATTTCCGATTTTTTTTTTTGTAAACAAATTGACTGTAAATGCCTATTATAGACCCCTATTTTTCTATTATTACAATACATCTAGTAAATAATAATAAAAAAAAATTAATGACAGTGCAATACATTAACAAAGCATATTTAAAAGTATATATTCTTTATATAAGAAATAAACTGACGACAGTTTGAAAAAAATTGACACATTTTTTACACCATGAATTTTATTAATCTAGATTAAATATATTTTTTGTAAATATCCACTGGATATAAAAGTTTATGTATTATAGTAGGAAGATTCTTTTTTTTGAAACAATTCTAAAAAAAAAATATCTCCATTCTTTTTAGATACATTATTAATTCCCAGTTTTTTTTTCTATGTAAATAGTTTTTAAAAAAGAGAAAAAAGGGATGTATAAAAAAAATTATAATGTATGAATGAAGAAAAAATTTTAAGTGCGAAATGAAAAAACAGTGACATAGATAATATAAAAATTGTTATTAATATAAGAAAACTATATATTATTATTGGAGTATTTAAATGAGGTAAAAAAAAATGTAAAAGTAAATATTATATATATATATATTTGGATTCGCCTTTGTTGTAAATCGTGCTGTGATAAATGTGTGTGGCAAACATTCGGCATAGGGCTTAATTACCATATTATTAATTTTTTCAAATTAACTCGTGTAGTTGATTAATATACAATCTAACAAAATAAATAAGTTGCAGTTTTTTTTTTTAATTTACTTTTTTTGTGTTTGGTGTCTGCTGTTATGTATGCATCTCTAAAACTATAAATGTTTTTTCTACAATTATTGTTGATTTGTAAAGCGAATTACTCTCGAGTGTAGCTTCTGATAATATAATAAATCTTTTAAAAATACGTAATTTAGTTTTTTTTTTAATTTAAAAATTTTTTACATTGGTAAAGAAAAATTAAAACTTACATGTAATAAAGGATTTATTGCAATAAAGTGTAATTTAATTATAATATATATATATACAAACACTAACAGTATATTTAATACCAATATGTTTTTTGAGGAATTCGATCTTCCTTTATTCCCATTTTGTCCATAATATCCATTTCAAAAGTTTTTAGTTCGGGCTAAAATTTAACAATAAATTTACTATTATAAATATAATATATTATATAATTTCTACAATATTAATTTTAAATAAATTTTAATTTAAAAAATTTATTTATTAATACTGTACCTTGAATGTAATTTTTTCAACTTCCTCTTTTTTAGTATCTTTATCGCCAGGTTTGTATAAACTTGGTAATTTATAATCGATCGTTTCTTTATCCGAATTGGGAATAGGAATTACTCTTCCTGTTCGTTTTGAAACACGAACTTCTTCTCCTTCTTCTGTGAATCTCCATTCAATTTCAGTTGGTTTCCTGTGTGTTTCAAAAACAAAAAATTATGTAATTTTGTTTTTTAATTAGAAAATAAAAAATTTTGTTTTCAATTAAAAACATACATATCACTTGGATCGATGAGAGAAACTTCTTCATTTACAAGTAGTGGTAATTCTCTCAATATATTTACTCCTGGAAATTCTTTATTTTTCATTATTTTAATCATTTTCGTATTAAGTCCTTGAACATTTACCCAATTTCTTTCTTGGAAAATTAAAGATACAACTCCTTGCTTTCCTTTGTCCCTTCCAGTTAAAACCTCAACCTTAAAAAAAAATATATTTTCAATAAAAATTTTTTTTTTTTTTGGTAAATATAAGTTTACTAAAAAAAATTACACATACCTTGTCACCACGAAAAAATGACCATTTTTTAATTGGTTCAATGGGAACTTTTTGATAACTTTTATTTCTACTATTGTCAAAAGAAAATTCTGATGTCCATGGACGATGAATTGAAAAATTAAATTTTTTACGTTGCACAGTACGAGGTAGATAATTTGGTAAACCACGAGGTGTTTTCCATGCTATCTATTAAATTTTTAAATATTAATTAATCATAATTATTATAATTTGTATTCAATACAATTCAAATTAAATAATTGTTAAAAATAAAGAGAATAAAAAAAAATTAATAATAATACTTACATATTATTTGATATTTTATTTAAAAAAAAATTAAAACACTTTTATTGAATAAATTAACACGATCTTCAGTTATTTTTATTAAACAATGTTATGATTAAAATTTTGTAATTTAAATCATAATTAAAAAGGGCGAATTAATTTATAATCAAAATAAAATGTTTTTGATCATGCAGTAATTTGCCTTTTACTTAACAATGTTTTAATCGTTTTAATTAACAATTAAACTTAAATTAATATAGTTAAAACAATTAATTGTATGTTTTTCATAAAAAAAACGCAAGCGTAAAAAAAACACAAATTTAAGATCGCTAAGTAAATTTTCTAACCTCAAAATTAAAGAAAAAGAAATGTTAAATTAAATGTTTGGAAAAACAACGAATACATGAAATTAAGTTAATTAATTTCACAAAAGGAATACATTTATGTAAATTAGTTTAGTATTTTTGTTATAATTAAACGAGAAAAGTAAAAATAAATTACTCACTTGCTCTCCAGTACGTTTGACATATCTTTCAGGCAAATTGGCATATTTGATCGATTCTTTGCCAACGAGATCTAAAAAATTGAATCCTCGAGGCATATTCTTGTGTTTTCAATTTTAATTAATCACTTATCACAATTAAAATGGGAATAAACAATGAAAAAAATACTATAATTACTGCAAAACTGGATGTGCTCTCTGGCTCTGAGCTCGTGAATATCTAACCTAACCTGGGAAACACATGTGCCGAAAAACACAAATGCTCATTGGTCGGTTCTTCCGCGGGCTTTCTATATTTGAAAATTTGAATTTGAAAAAAGTTTTACACAGAAAGAAAAATAAAACTTTTTGTAAATTAATCTTTACGTAAATTTCCAATAAGTAAAATATATATTAAAATTTAAAATTATTAAAACGTTTTCTCAATCAATTAACTCTAATTTTATATATGTATTAAATTATTTTAATTTATTTAACAATGAACAATAATAAAAAATGTAAAATTAAAGAATGACAAATTTAATTACTCAGGGAAATTAGAATTATTTAAATTTAATTATTAACTTTACGTACAATGCAAATAAATATTATTTAAATTTGCGTTTTATTATTTTTTCGAATTATTTTTACTTTTTATTCGAAGAAACTATTCTCTGGGTAAAAAAAATAAACTTTAATAAGAACTGTTTATAAAACGAAGAAAAAAAATGGTTTTTTATATTAATTTTTGATTAAAATAAAAATAAATTAATTAATAAATGAAAAAATTATTTTTGTTCTTTAAGCAATAAATAATTAAAATATATTTTTTTTCTCTTGGCATTGCATTGCGTTTCAAATGTCCGTACTTCGACCTGTTAACCGGTGTCTGTTATTTAATACTATCGCGGGTTCGCTCACGATGCGACGTCGTCATTTATTTCAACAATCATTACCGACCACCCTGTCATCATTTCTATATTCGTAATACCCATAATTCTTAATTGATAATAATCTCTATATACACTCAATAAAGACAGGAAAAAAATTTTAATATTGAGAAAAAATATATTTCCAAAAAAAAAAATTGATCTAAAAAAATAACTAATAAAAAAAAAATTAATCTAAATGTAATTTTCAATTTACTTCGAAATTAATTAATTTATTAATAATTTAATTAATTAATTTTAAGTTTACATAATTTTTATATCAAAGATTACTAAATAGATTACTAAATTACTAATATATTAGTTACTAAATAAATTTTGTATTTGAACTAAATATAATTTATTTAAATTAAATAGAAATATATTTTTTCTCATTTGTATATAATTTAACTTAAGAACAATAAAATTATTCTTTTATTGAAAAAAAAGGAAATTAAGCTAATTATTGCTGTGAATGAAATTCTTTAGTCATAATTTAGTCTAACACCAATCAAACGTGACAGTTTTTATTTCTTTTCTCAGAAATTTTCAACTTTCAAGAGGAAAGATTTTTAATATCTCCAAAAAAATTTTTCTATACATTTATTTCAAGAGAAATAGGCTTGTGATTTGAGATGTTGACAAATGTATTTCAGACATTGAAAGCATTTTCTTTTTCTTTATTTTAAATTTGAACGTAATTTTTTGAAGAAATTTAAAAAAAAATTAATTTTTTTTACTATAAATTTCCAATTGATTTATTTATTGATTTTAATTTTATTAACATTATTTTAAAAAATTAATTTTTTATAACATATAATTATTTATTTATTTAAAGATAATATACTTATATCTATGTTACATTATTATAATAAATAAAAATTATTTATTTATAAAAATTATTAAAAAAAAATTTTTTAATCTTTTGCGATCTGAATCATGATAGAGAACTTTTTTTTTATTCAAAATTCGAGTAAAAAAAAATAATTTAATTTAGAAAATAATTGAATTTATAAAATAATTTCATTTAAAACCTCCAAAAAAATATTAAATTAAATAATAAATTATAAAATTTTTGTAAAAGTACACAATGGAGAAAAATTAATATAGGAATGATTTAATTATAAAAAAATTAATAAACAATAAAATTAAAAAATAATTAAACAAAAATAAATTTTAAATAAAAAATAAATTACATAAATTAAATAAATTAATAAAAAATAAATTACATAAATTAATAAATAATAAATTCATAAAAAAATAAATATTCTAAATGAAATATTTGAATAATGGAACTTTGTATAAAATTTCAGGGGGGAGGAATTATATTTTTAAATAAAATAGGAATTTTTTTTAAATAATAAAAAAAAAAATTGAATAATTAAAAAAACAAAACCGTTTGAATTTTGAAGCGTATATGTTTTCATATACTATACTGCGAAATTATATTATGTCACCTACACTTTTTATCTCACTTCCGGGCCATATTATGTCTAGAGTAGGCACTCACCATGTAAATATATAAAAGCCGGGTATCTTGTACACCAAGAATTCACATGCAGTACAGTCGTCATCATGAATGGTCGTCGTCTTCGTCTTCAAGTTCAGGCCCTCAAGTTTGAGTCGTCACATCTCATTCTTCAGTTGACTGCAAATCGTCGTTCCTTCAGTTCAAATTGTTCTCTCTACGTGTTCAGATCTGTCAACAAGAGCAACATCAACAAATTTAGTATATATTTTTTTTCATAAAAAATAAATTTCAATATTTATTTATTTAACATTTTTTAAATTTATTTTATTTATTTTTTACTGTATTCTATTTATTTTTTTATTGTTTTTATTTTATTTATTTTTTTATTGTTTTTATTTTATTTATTTTTATACTGTATTTATTATTATTTTTTTTTTTATTGAATTTTTCGTTTATTTTTTTTTTTTTGGTATTTTTTTTTATTGATATAAAATTTCAATAAATACTATTACAATTGATCGTAATTTAATAGAAATTTTGTGCTTTTAATTACAGAAATTGTAATTAAATTTTAGTTTTTATTTTAATATACAATAAAATTTTTTTGTTTGTTTACTGTTTAAAAATTAAACAATTAAAAATTTTTGTGATTTGTGAAAAGTGATAAATGTGAAATTCAATTTTTCATTTAGATTGGATGTTTGAACAAAAGTGATTTAAGTTTAGTTTATTAATTTTTAAATCAATTATTTAATTAATTCAAATTAATTTTTTCTCCTTTCAGTATTTTGATTTTCAGTTTTTAAATCAAAAAAAAAAAGTACAATTGCATTATCGGTAAGCGGAGTATAAACTCTTGGTATTAAGAAAGAATTATGCTCCGTTTAACCAATAATGCGATGTATGAAAATCAACATTTTTTCTCTTCACTTCTTATGGACGATATATTATATTTTCATCAAAACAACATTTTTTTTCTCATCAAATTTAATTTGCTCCTAGCAAAACCCATATTTTAGCATTAATTCCGTAATTATTGCAGGAATTATGCTTGAAATATGCGGAGTTGCAAAAGAGTTTTACACATTTTATTTCTTCACATCGAGAATTCGACATAAACCTTCTTTTTTTTGGGAAATATTTGAGGTAAGTTGTTTTTTTGTATGGAAAGTGTATATTTTTAACTGTTACAGAATTTGTTTGTAAATTATTGAAAGTATTTTTTTTATTTTCGTAACAAAAATTATGTTTATTTTTTTAAAATAATAACGTTAATTTTTTTTGAAAAATAATTTTTATTATAAATATATAACAATCATATTTTATTTGTGTTAAGTTGATTCTTTTGTTTCAGTATACAGAGTAAAAATCTACGAGATAATAAATAAATAATAAATAATAAATAAAAAATAAATAAAATTAAAAAAAATTAATTAAATTAATAAATAATAATAAATTAATAAAAAAAAATTATTATTAATTATCTATTTATTATTATTATTATTTATTATTATTTATTATTATTATTTATTATTAATTTTTCCCATTATTATTAATTAATTAATTAATTAATTAATATTATTATTAATTAAATTAATTAAATAATAAATAATCCATTAAATTTATTTAATAGATTTTTTTTCAAAAACATTTTCCTTTCATTTTTGTCTCAAAAATACGATCCTTTTGAGAAAAGCAAATTAGTTTTTTAACTCTAATTAGACTATAAAATAATATAGAAATTTTTTCATATATTTAATTAAATGATTATTTAATTAAACAAATTAAATAGTCATTAAATTTATTTATTTAAACATAAACATAAATTATTTAATAAAAATAATAAAAATAAAATAAATTAGAAATTTTTAATAATTTGAGTTACTCAGTGACAAGAATTTTAATTTAATTATTAATTATTAGCTATATGTCTTAGCAATGAATTAATATTTAAATAAAGAATTAGTAATAATTTAATTATTTAATTAATTTAATTCAATTACAATTAATTAATTTAATTAATTGTAATTAATATTATATAATTTTTTAGCAAGTAAATTTGTTTTTTTATATAATTATAAATTAATTAATAATTATTATATAATATATTTGAAAATAATTAAATGTAATTCAAATTATTTTTAAAAAAATTAAAAATATGAATAAAATCTCTAAGAAAATCCTAAAATTAGTTAAAAAAAATATGTTTATTTACAATATTTTTTAATTGTAAATTATTTGATTAATTTTATCGAAAAAATTAACTTTAACGATATGTTATCTCGCGACTTGCTTTTGCAATATTTGTAAAGTTTCGCATTCATTTGCCATCAATTGAGAGACAATAAAGTGAATTAAAAGCTGAGATAATATAGAAAAATTTTCTCGTTTTTTTTTGGCAAATTAGTGATTTTTCGGAAAATTTGTGCAAATAATTTTGTTATTTTTGTGATTATTTTCTATTATTAATTATTTTCAAAAAAAAAAAAAAAAAAAAAAAAAAAAAAAAAAAAAAAAAAAAAAAAAAAAAAAAAAACAATGAAAATTGCTATTGTGGGTGCAGGTGTCATTGGAATGACATCGGCAGTGGCAATAAAAAATGCTTTTCCCACTGTAAATGTTACAGTTTTTGCGGATTCATTTACACCACATACTACAGGCGATGGAAGTGCTGGACTTTGGGGTCCCTATGTTCTTGGAGACACTTCTGATGAGAAAATTGTGTGAGTTTTCATACAAAATTCTCCATTGAATTTTTTTTTTTTTTTAATAAAAAAATTATAAAATAAAAAATAATTCATTTAATTATTTGACATTTGTCATTTTGTTTAAAAAAAAATTACATTTTATTTTATTGCGGCTACGATTTTTAATATTTTTTAATTAATAGTTAATTAACATTTATTTAATTATTAATTAATTTGAAGTTAGTTAATTATAAATTTATTAATAGTTAGTTAATTATTATTTAGTTAATTATTTAGTAATTAATAATTAATTAATAATATAGGAAACTGTTTATTGTGATTATAAATAATAATCATACTTTAAAATTATTTGCATGCGATAAAAAGTGGGGTTTTTTTTTTCAATGTCGATTTTTAACTTTGGTTTAGAGATTTTTTTTTCAAGCAGATCTCACGTTCCAATTATGTGGATGTCAAAAGTGTTTATAAAATAATCACTTTCTGGTTCACAATCATGACTGCTTTCTGCGAATCGCAGCCTCAACTTTTTTTTAATGCCTCTGCCATAAGAATAAACATAATTAAAAATAAAAATAGACTGAAATATTTGAAACGTTTTGTACAGTCCAATGAAAAAGAAAATAAAAAAATTCACTTTTTCCCATTGCATTCGTTTTTAATATAAACACTTATTTATTTAATTTACTTTAATAAAAAAAAAATCATTTTAATAATTGAAAGAAAATAATAATGACAAACAAATAAAGAAATAAATAATAAATAAAGTGAATAAAATAAATAATATAATAATTATAATTATAATAACAATTTTTAATTCATTTATCTAACTCCATTAAATTATAATAATAATATAAATAATTTTTTTTTTTTTTTTTTTTAAATATGCTTTATTAAACAATAAATAATTAATATTATAATAATAATAAATTAATTAAATTTTACAAATAATATTTTACAAAATTATAGAAATTTATTTATTTTTGTATTATTTTTAAATAATTTTTATTTATTAAGAATAACAAAAATATTCAGTCATTTTCTCACGATCTAACAAAAAGTTTTTTTTCTTGAAAACTAAATTACCAAATTTACACTATAATAGATGTCATTTGAAAAAAGGGTACGTCAAAAAAAAAAAAAAAAAAAAAAAACATATGTTTTAAACATTTTTTGCAAAAAATTACCAATATATAAAAAAATTGAGAAAACCAAAAAGGTTCAATTTTCTTTTTGTCAAATATTACAGGTATATATAGGGATGAAGGTTTCCTCTTTTCTATTGAATTAGGAGATTTTTATAATTTATGACTTTGTCATTTTGGTCCTTTTTTCCATCCTTTCAAAAAAAAAAAAAAGTACGCACATATTTATTTTAAATGTACCACGTGCGTTTTTAAAGTACTATAAAGTGTTTACAATTTTTTTTTTAAGTTCATTTTTATTATAGGCAATTAAATTTTACAGACGTTGGTCCGGAGACACTCACAAGTGGATGGAACAATTTTGGAAAAGTCCATTGGCACTTGAGGTGGGAATTTCTTTAACGCCAATATTTCGATTTACCAACGATCCAAAGGGATATCCAAAACCAGCTTGGGTGCCTCTCGTTTATGGCGTTCAAGAATTAAAACAAGACGAATTAAAAAGAATTAATGAAGAATATAAATCAAATTATACGTAGGAAATAGAAAATTAATTAAATAGTTTTTTAATTAATAAATAATTAAATTATATATTAATTAATAATAAAATAAATTTAAAAAAAAATTTTTAAATAAAATTTTTTATTAATTATTAATTATAAATTATTGCAATTATTATTATTATTATTATAATTATTATTATTATTATTATTACGATTATTATTAAAATAATTATTATTTTTGTAATTTTAATTATTTCTAATTTTTTAATTAAGAAATTATTTAATTATTTAATTATCTTTTTTAATAAATAGGAAAAATAAAAAAAAATTGTTTTTTTTTTTTAGAGGGGGGTGGCAATTTTTGTCCTACACGTGCGAGCCATCGAAACTATTGCCATGGTTAATGAAAACATTTAAATCAAAGTCTGGGAAAATTAAGAGGAGAAAAATTAACACACTAGACGAGCTAAAAAATGAGAAATATGATGTGATCGTAAATTGTAGTGGTTTAGGGGCACGAGAACTTGTAAAGGACTCTCAAGTTACGCCTGTTAGGGGTCAAGTGTCTCGGGTAATATCTAATATATTTCCAAACGATCATTAAATTTTCCCAAAAAAAAAAAAAAAAATTCCATTCAAAACAAACACACATCTAGGATATATTTTTTAAATAAATCTAAATTATGTGTCCTTTCTGTCACAAGTTCACTTTTTTTTTTTTTTTTCATTATTTTCATAAAAAAAATTTTTTTTGAATTTTTTTTTTAGGTAAACGCTTCATGGATGTTTCACACATTATTGGAGGATAATGATGGTGGAAATTATATCATTTCTAAGTGATTATTCAAACAATTTTTTATACCTATTTATAAATTATTATTATTTTTATTATTTTCATTATTTTTATTATTTTTATTATTTTTATTATTTTCATTATTTTTATTATTTTTATTATTTTTATTATTGTTTTTTTGTTAGGTTTCAAACTGAAATATTTATTTATCTAATTAATATATGTTTAATTAATTTTTGCTTAATTTAATTAATTTTTAAAATAATTATTTAATTAAATTAATTTAATTTTTAATTAGTAATAAAATTGAATTAACAAAATATATAATTTTTTTTTTACTTCAGTTTAGAAAGTGTGATTTTGGGTGGAACTAAACAAAAAAATGATTTCTCTCTTTCGATACGTGAAAAGGATTCAAAATTTATTCTTGATGGATGTGCACGAATGATTCCTGCATTAAAAGTAAATTTTTTATTATTTTCCACAGTATTTTTTTTGGCAAAATTACAAAAAAATTTAATTTAATTACTTGAATTAAAATTGTTTTTTTTTAAATTAAAAATTTTTTTTTTAAATTAACGTTAATAAACAAAAGATTAAAGTTTTTATGTTTTTTTTTTTTTTTTTTTTGTCAGACAAGTGAAATTTTAAGCGAATGGGTTGGACTGAGACCCGGAAGACCACAAGTTCGATTAGAAGCGGAAATTGAAAAAAATTCAAATTCTTTGGTAATAATTACTATAATATGTATTTAATTTTTTAAGATATTTAATTTTTTTACTTCGTTTTTTTTAATATTTAAAAATTAAATTTTTCCCATTCTGATTCGATTTACTAAAAAAAAATTAAAAAATAAAATAAAAAATTAATTAAATTAAATAAATATTATTTTTTATTTTAGATAATACACAACTATGGACACGGAGGAAGTGGCGTTACTTTATGTTGGGGATGTGCTTTAAATGTGGTGGAAATTTTAAAAGATCTCAAATTTCCAAATTTTAAATCAAAACTCTAAATAATTTTATTTTTATAAATTTTTTTGTTCTCAATTTATTTTCTATTGATTGTTTATTACAAAAATAAATAAATATGCAAAAAAAAATTAATTTCTTCAAAAAAAAATAAAAAAGCATTTTATAAAACAATAATTTAGAGATTCGTAAAAATAAATAGACTAAAAAAAGGAATTTTATGACACACTATTTATAGAATAAAATTATTTTAAATGAATATGTAGATTTTAGAAGACAAAAATTTCACAGAGGAAATGATTGTTATTATTTATTTGAACTGAAAATTTTAGTTAATGATGTGGGAGGTAAGTAACGTTCTGTACTAGGTACCCAACATAATTTAGCCTTGTCTCGAGATCCTTGAAAACTGAATGTAATTACTCATCTTTTAATCAATAAAAACCTAATTATAAAGAAAATAATTTCTAAGTCCCCAAACAGTCTAAACACAAGTTGAGAATGTGAAACACCTCATTTTTGTTTTCGAAATATTTTTTTGAAAGAAAATTTTTTTTATAAAGAAAAAACGACTTAAAAAACAAATGAATAAATTTTGATGTGTCAAATCGCGAAAGTGAAAATTTCAATTGTAAATAATACACGAAATTATTTTCCAAAATTTTGAAAATTACCGCTATTCATGTAAAAAAAATAAAATGTTTTTGAAAATATTTCGTTAGATTTTAAGTTTTTTTTTTTTTTTTTTTTACTAAAAGAAAAAATAATGTAAAAATAATGGTGACAAATTTGACCGGAGGACAAAAAAGATCCCTGGTATATTTGACAAAATCAACAGCAAATAATAATAATAATAATAATAATGATGGAGAATTGGAAAAAACAAAAAATCCAAAAATTTTTACCGATCAAGTTCAATTATTATTGTTTACCAAAAATAATGTCGACGAGTGTCAGAAAAAAATCTATTCGTCAAATTCTCAACAATTTTCTCATAATCACGATAAACAGAATCAATACGATCGTCAGACAAATGTTGTTTCAAAAAATTTATCAGCCAAAAATTCAAATTATAAAGGTAAATATTATTTATTTTTTAGCAAAAAAAAAAATTCTAATTTTTTTTTTTTTAATTTAGGAAATAACGCAGGAGAACGAGATAATGAGACAAGCAAAGATGAAAGTGAAAAATTATTGTCGAAAACGAAGAAAAAGAAGAAAAAAAGGTAAATTTTGACATTAAAGGAAAAAAAAAATTCTTTGAAAAATTAAATTAAAATTATAATTAAATTATATTAATAAAAAAAGGTATAATTTGAAAAAAGGTGTCTAAGTATATGTACAATTAATTGCAAATACGATGTGGTTCGAAGAGTTGCAACAAAATTTGGAATGCGTGAAGTAACAGAGGATGGTAGTTGGAATCTTTATTGGACCGATTTAAGTATAAGCATTGAAAGAGCAAAGGAAATGAAACGTTTTCAAAAAGTTAATCATTTTCCTGGCATGACTGAATTATGTCGAAAAGATTTACTCGCTAGAAATTTAAATCGAATGCTCAAACTTTTTCCACAGGATTATAATTTTTTTCCAAAAACTTGGTGTTTTCCCGCTGAGTAATAAATTTTTTATTTTTTATTTTATTATTTTAATTTTTTTATTTATTATTTTTATTTATTTTCATTTTTTATATTTTTATTTTTTTTTAAATAAATATTTAAATTTTTTCTCTTTCTATTAAAAAATTCTTTTTTATTAATTTATTTATTTTAAATTAATTTTAATTTTCGAATTAATTAAATTTTAATTTTAATTAATTAATTTTAGTTTAGGTGAGGCAATAGCATATTCAAAAGTACGAAAATCAAAAACGTTTATTATAAAACCAGACACGGGTTGCCAAGGGCGAGGGATTTTTTTAACAAAAAATTTAAAAGACATTAAACCGTATGATCGATTAATATGCCAGGTGTATCTTTCTAAGGTACTTTTTTTTATAATTAATTAAATTTTTTTTTAACTATTTCCAAACTAATAAAATAATTATTTACTTCCCATGTTTTATTTTTTTTTCCTTATTTTTTAATGAAATATTCAAGACTTCTTTTCTTTCTTTATTATAGCCTTTCTTAATCGACGGTTTCAAATTCGATCTTCGAGTCTACACATTGATAACGTCCTGTGATCCACTTAGAATTTATGTTTATAACGACGGACTCGTCAGGTAATTAATATTAATTAATTATTATTAATAAATAAATAAATAAATAAAAATTACAAATTAATTAATTATAATTAATTACAATAATAATTAATAATAAATAATAATAATTAATAAATAATTACTTAAAAAATTAATAAATAATTAATATTAATAAAATTAGTAGTGTTAATATTGTTATTATTAATATATTATTATTACTAATAATTAATTAATTATTCAAAAATTATTCATTTTTTTTTTATTTAAAATTACAGATTCGCAACGACTCGTTATAAGGAACCAATGAATCATAATACATCAAATGTTTTTATGCATTTGACTAATTATTCAGTTAACAAACATAGTCGAATGTTTGTCATTGACGATGAAATTGGAAGTAAGAGGTTCGATTAAAATTTCAATTTGAAAATTAATTAGAAATTAATTATAATGAATTATTTAATTAGAATACAAATAATAAATAATTAGTTTTTTTTACTAATTTATTAATTAATCAACTAATTTAATTAGCTAATTAATTAATTCATTAAAAATAAATAATTAGTTATTAATTAATAATTTTAGTAATTAATAATTTTATTATTTAATAATTTTATTAATTAATAATTTTATTATTTAATAATTTTATTATTTGATAATTCTTTTAATTAATAATTTTAATATTTAATAATTCTATTAATTAATAAATACAATTTTCTCAAAAAAAAAAATTTTGCCCCATTTTTAGAAAAATATCAACATTAAATAAATGGTTAAAAGAAAATAATGTAAATATTGAGGAATTATGGTGTAAAATTGATGAAGTGATTGTAAAAACAATACTCGCCGCTGTTCCTGTTTTAAAACACAATTATCACACGTGTTTTTCAAATCATGATTTGACCTATGCTTGCTTTGAATTATTGGGATTTGACATTCTTCTCGATTGGAAACTGAAACCATTTCTTTTGGAAGTACAGTATTAATTAAAAATTTTCTAAAAAAAATTTTTTTTTAAATTTTACTAAAAAAAATTTTTTTTTCAAATTTTACTAAAAAAAAATTTTTTTTTCAAATTTTACTAAAAAAAAATTTTTTTTTCAAATTTTACTAAAAAAAAACTAAAATTAATAATTTTTTAATTAAATAAAAATTAGGTAAATCATTCTCCAAGTTTTCATACCGATGCCCAATTAGACAAGGATGTCAAGGAATCATTATTGATGGACACTTTTGAAATGTTAAATTTACAATTGTGTGACAAGAAAAAAGTCATCGAGGAAGACAGAAAACGAATAAAGGAAAGATTGTTACAAGGAATCAATAAGGATCCCAAGTAATTATTTAAAAAAAAAAAATACAATTTTAGCGAAAAAAAAATTCTAGAATTTTTTTTTTTTGAAACCTTTTGATAATATCGACAAAAGTATCCTATTTCAAAACAAAAAAATGTTTCAAACACACGTGTTGGTGAAATATTTTTTCATTACAATGTTTACATTCGTTTGTAAAAAATTTTTTTTTTTTTATATATTTTTGAACACCCGCAGTTTAACTACAGGGAACCAGATAAAAATTGAAAGGGACTCAATTCAAATTCAACATGAATGGGAGGACGAGCACATGGGCAATTTTAGAAAAGTTTATCCTGGTCCACAATACGAGAAATATGATCCATTTTTCAAACAAACGGCAACATCGATGTTTCAAGACACAGCATCGTCAAGAGCCCGTGAAGAGGCATCGAAACAACAACGAGAAGAAACAGATGTAATTTTTTTTCCAAAACAAAAAAAAAAAAATTTCCATTTTTTTTGAAAAAAAATTTTTTTTTTTTTTTTTTTTTTGCAATGAGTAAAAGAACTAAATTTATTTTCCTCCCCTAGATGAGAATAAAAGAAGAAGAGAGCAAAAGAATAGGAAAGTCGATGAGTGAATATAAAACTGGTCCAGAAAGTCCGAGAACAAAGAAATTGAATTTTGCTGGAGAAAAAATTAAATCATTGCCAATAAATCGCAAGCAGGTCTCTCGCGTATTGTATATTTTGTTTGCATTTTTTGTAAAAAAAAAATCGAATTAATAAAAATTAATTTTTTTATATAGGTGAAAAAGTCAACATCACCATCGACATCGGTAAATAAACTTTATTCCTTTCGTCCTGAAATAATATCAGCATCCGAGGAACGTGAAAGAATTGCCGCAATGGCACATCGTGATTTTTTAATCAAAAGTTATGGAATGTTGGAGAAAATCTATTTATCGATGAAAAAAAATGGAATTTTACGAATTGCCGACGAAAAGAAATATTCATTTTACGATAATAAATCGTCTTCAATATACGAAAATGAAAAATCAAATTCAATATTTAAAAATCAATCAGAAAAATTATTTGATTCATCATTGAGAAATTTATCAGAAAAATCTGATTTCACCTGTAAAAATGCAACGAAACGAATTAAATTAAAATCATCTGATGAAACAACAATTATTCAAAAATCAATCAGTGTAAGATAAAATAAAATTTTACAAATAAAAAAAATGTATTAACGTAAAAAAAAAAAAATTGAATTTTATTTTCAGAACAACGAAACCAATAACAATGGTAATTCTGATTGTGATAATTGTAAGTAGGAATTAAAAATATTTATGAAATTTTTTTTTTAAATTTAAAAAAATAATTATAAATATTTTCTAGGTCTAAAGATAACTTGCAATGAAATTCCAATTTACACGAGGCCAAATATCGTTGACAAAATTTCAACAGAAAATTTCAATTTCGATGAGAGAATCACAAAAACTCACTTGGCTCGAACACTTTCAAACACTGTTAGACTTCATGCTCTTAAAAAACGAGATAATCTTAATTCTATAGTAATTAAATAAAGAGAGAGAAAATTACAAATAAAAATCTTAATTAAAAAACATCAAAAAGGTGTTTAAAAAAATAACAAAGAAAAAAGAAATACAGATCCAATCGAAAATTATTATTTTGCGAAAACCAAAATAAAAAAAAATAATAATTTTTAATGCCAACTAATTCGTTTTTTTTTTTTTTGATCTATTACTAAGACATTATTCCCAAATTTGCATATTTAAAATTAAATTTTATAATTAAAATATTAAGATTTTCTTACGATTAATGCGAAAAATAAATACAATGTACCAAAATGTATTATGTATAACAATTTTTATTGCTGATATATATTTTTGTATTCACATGATAAAAAATAAACTATGAACAATTTGTTGCATATCGCGATATTTCCGTGCTGTGATCATTTTTTTTTTTTAATGTTTAAATTGCATGACAGTTATATGTTACACAAATTTTTCTTTCTGTCGAATTGTATACACAATATGCATCTTATTTGCAGTTTCGCTATTTTGTAGATTTTTTTTTTTTCATTTTTGTCAAGTTTTATAATATTTTTTTTTTTCATCTCTCAATATTATTTCGTGAAAGTTAGTTTCTCCAATTTGAGAATTATTTTTTCTTTTGCCATACAATGACGTAAAATACACAAAAGTGAGAAGAACTAAGACACCAAAATTAAATTATGAGAGAGAAAGAAAGAAAGAGAGAGAGAATGAGAAAAGGGGAACGAAAAAAAAGAATGTTACACTTTCGTGCGTTATTTTGTGATAACATTATTTTTTTTTTATAGTTAAATATAAAAGTCTTATAATTTACATGTGAAATCAAGTGTTCTATATTATGTACATCAGCGAATTTTGTTGCAGCGTCGCTTACATTCATTTTTTTTTTTTTAATCATCATTTCCTGACATTAGTTTTAGATAAATAAATTATCTAAAAACCATAACTCAATAAATACTATCATTATACAATTCAGATTTTTCGTGTTTACAAAATCGGTAATATTCGCTTTTTTTTTTTTTTTACTTACAAACTGCAATGGCCAAATTTAAGTGTTAAAAAAATTTTTTCTTTTTTTAAATAAAATTAAAAAGAAACAAAAATGGTCAGATGCACCTAACAGATCACCGATTGACTTCTATTTACAAAATTAACACTTAAAATTACGAAAATTCGTAATTTTAATATGTGTTTGCGTAGTTTTTTTTTTTTTTTTTTTGTTTTTTTTTTATCTTCTCTGTGAAAAGATAGTCACGCTTTTTATTTATGCCAATACCATTAAGTCTAACAGAACGATCCATTAATCACTATTTACACAAAGGTATAGCTACCTACAATAATTATTTAATTATCTTTTCCCTCAGCAAAAATTAATTGTGAAGAAATATATATATATATATTTATATATAAAGATGACCGCATGATGTGTGTCTTTCCATCATTCTTTTCTCAATTGACTATTGTTTCCTCTTTTTTCTAAAAATTAAATTCAGTCACTTTAAAATATTAAAATTTGAATAAAAAAAAAAAATTGAGAAAAATTGGAATAAAAAAAGAAAAAACAAACATCGTAAAATTTATAATATTAACAATACTGAATACTAAAATTAATACCAAAAAAAATAGTAAATTACTATTTAAAAAAAAAATTAAATAAAAATATTTTGATAAAGTATTTAATACCAAAATTATTAAATTAAATATTAATATCAAATTTTCGATATAAAAACATTTAATATCAAAAAATTTCTTTCTATCATTGAGAAAAGAATGAAATAGAAGGACAAAGTAAGTATTAATGATATTCTATTCGTTGTAATACTAATATGAGCATTATGCAGTATAGAATCCTGTGTGTTACTTTTTTTTTTTGTGTAATATTTTGTTAAAAACGCACAATTAAAGTATTATGAATGGAATTAAATGATAAACAGAATATTAAACTATACAATCATCGGGTTCATTAACTTCTTATTAGCTGTCGAAGATAATAATCGGTGGTTAATATATTTTTTTCTGGTAGATTCACTCTTTCGTTAGTTTTTTTCTTTTCAAATATAAAAAAAGCACATTAAAAAATTTCTTCCACTTTAATTTTTTTTTTTTTCCCCCATAATAATGTTAAGAATATCAAAATTAATTATATAGAGAAAAAATTAAATTGTTTATAACAAATAATTTCATTTTAATACTTATAAAATGGAATCAAATTCGAGAAAATAATTTAAAATGTAGAAAAAAGAAAATAATTTTCCCTAATGTAAAAATAAACTGGTTTAAAAAAGCGTAAGTTCATTTTTTTTTGTCAAATATAAAATTATTTGAATTTAAAGCTTTTATGATTATTTATGACACTGTGTAATTAATTTGGATTATTAATTAAATCGATTTAAAAAAAACACACAGTAAAATTATTTTTTTTTTTGTAATCATTAAAAATTGTAAATTTAATTTTTGTGATGAAAAAAAAATTTTTTGTGGAAGATAAATTTCTGACTAAAATAAAAAAAAAAAGATTCTAAATGGCAAGTTTTTTTTCCCCTAAAAAAAAATTAACTGAAATCTTGCTGCGGATGTATGAGTTATTTTTTCCTTTTTTAATCTACAATCTAGATAAAATCTTCAACGACGCATAATATGATTTTAAAATATGACAATTTTTTTTTGTTAAAATTTGTCAGCGCGTCGATATTGATTGACTGCTTTTTTTTAAACACGGAGCATCTATAGATAAAAATTAGTGGCTTTATGGCTTATGCACATTAATTACTTCTTTTTTTTTCAACTACATAAAAATCCTGCTACGTTTTTTCACCGTAAACATGATAATCCTTTTTTTTTTCTTTGAAAAGTGACTCCAATCGACACATGCTGAAGGAAATAAAGACGCGCGCGCGTTTAGAAAATCAGAATAAAGAAAATTAATAGAGAAAAATAAAAATCAAGTATTGAGCATTTTCAACGTACACGTTTTACAAGAAGACTGGTGCGATTCGATAAAAAAGTGTGGTAAATTTTTTTTTTTTTTTTAAATACCGAATACTATCGTGATTATAATAATTGCTCGGTGACGTAACAATTTTTGTTTATAATGTTCACCAGCTTTCAAATTGTAATAGCTGCGTTTTTTTTTTTAATTCTCATAAAAGAGTTTCGTACCAAAATTTTTAGTTCTTTTAATATTTCAATTATTAATATTTTGATAAGTAAATTTCAATTATTAATATTAATTAATTTTTAATTATTAATATCAATAAATTGTTAATATTAATCAATTTTCAATGATTAATATTAATCAATTTTCAATGATTAATATTAATCAATTTTCAATGATTAATATTAATCAATTAATTATTAATATTTATCAATTAATTATTAATTAATTAATAACAAAATTTATTAATTTTGAAACGTCACAATTTCCAAAAAAAAAAAAAATTGTTTTCAATTTTAAAAATTCCCGTGATTTTTAAAATTTATTTTTTTTTTTTTATGGAAAATTTGTCGATTTTTAGAACAATTTCTTGGACGAATTTTCTTTTAATTCTGTTTCTTAATATCAATGAAAATTTACTATTCGGCTTTCACACTACACTCATACTTTCTTCACACGAATTTAGTCAATTTCACGTTAATAAGTGTTCTTTCTTTTTTTTTTAAAAGAACAGATGTCATTTTGAAAATTCATTAAAATCGCATATGTTCAATATCAATAATACTGCAAATAAAAATAAATCGAACTGCGACAATCGTCAAATTGCGTTTTTCTCTTTTTTTTTTTTTTTGAATCCTAAATTCCATAATCAACGAAAGGCAAATCGATCTGTCAAGATCAAGGAGACACGTGAATCGATTTTTTTTTTTAAAATTATATAAAAAAAAAACTATTTTGGCGTGCGAATCGTTCCTGCATTTAAACGTACTTTATCCAATCACGATTTTTTGTTTTTCAATTTTTTTTTTTTTGTTTTTTTTTCTTTGTAACGATACCCTAAGTTTTCAACAAGTTAAAGCTAGAAAGTTATTAACAAACAGCATGTGTCTGTAACGTAATGCGCGTGTGCTCATGTTCTTCCTTTTTTTTTTGTTTTTTTTTTGTTTTTGTAAATGTGTTTATGTTCTAACAAGGTGTAACTCACGCGTCGCAAGCACGACGATCGAAACAGTGTTATGGCTTGAACTTAACCAAGGGTATATTTTTCGTTTGTAAACATTTATCACAAACCCATTCCGCGTAAACTTCTTGCGTTAATAGCTGATAAGCAGCCTCTGACAATCCTGTGCAACCTCTGTAAAAAAAAATTACAAAAAATTACAAAAAATTACACAAAAAATTCGAAAAATTCTCAATAAAAGAAAAATATTAAATAACTACCTGTGAAACCAAAAATTACAACCAGATTCACAGAGAATGGCTTGATCATTATCATGAACTTCTTTATGGCAAACACCGCATGGATAAATTGGAGGAGCATTCGGATTTTGAGGATTAAATACCATTGGTTGATCTGGAGGATAGATCTGAAAAAAAATTCATTGAGTTTGTTTTTTTTTAATAATTAATTAATGATGATTTAAATTACCTTTCCAGCAGACACGGACATGGGTTTTTGTCCCATGCCCGGTGGTCCTTGAAAACCATGTGGCGGCATCGATCCCGACATTGGATTCATTGGATGTCCAATTGGTGGTCCACTGCCCATATTACTTGGCATATTGCCCATAGGTCCTCCCATATGTCCCATTTGATTATGATGACTGAGATTAATATTCGACATTGTATTCATTGGGCCCATATTCATATTATTAATTTGATTAGGTCCGCCCATATTCATATTTGTTGATACCATTGAACTCATTGTTGTCATTGGTCCATTCATTGGTCGGCCAAGATTATTTGGACCCATATGATTAGGATGATTTTGCGCTCCATTATGACCCAATGGACTATTAACATTATTCATTGGCGGTCCATTTAATGGACTATTGGGCGGTATATGGCTATTCATGCTATTCATATTCATTGGTCCATTTGGCATATGATTTGATCCTGGCATATTGTTCATTGGCGAACCCAATGGTCCACCCATTGGACTACCTAAATTATGTCCAATATTGTTCATTGGACTACCCATTGGACCATTGTTCATACTATTCATTGGACTGCCCATTGGTGGGCCGCTCATTTGTGAATTGCCCATATGACCCATATTCATGTGATTGTTCATTGGTCCCTGTGGCATATTTGGACCCATATTATTCATGGGACTCATACCGCCAATTGGTGGATGATTCATTGGTGACATTCCACTCATGTGATTCATATGATTGCCCATTGGCGATGAGCCCATTGGACTCATATTGCCCATATTGTGCGACATCATTGGATTCATTCCGCCAATTGATGAAAGTGGACTCATTCCTCTCATTGGTGGTCCACCCATGTGATGTGGATGATGTGGATGCATATGAGGTGGACCACCGTGCATCATGGGATTTTGTGCCGCTTGCGGGGGTGTATCGTCAAATGGATTACTCGCCACTATTGTATCACCGTATCCCGTCAACGGTGGTGGTAATAAATCCTAAAAAAAAAAAAATTATTCAAAATTAATTGAATTTTAAATTACATATAATAATCGTGAATATCTTTCGTTCATTCTGTCCACACCTGAAGTTAGTATTTGTTATAGGTCTTTTGTTTTTTTCAAATGTATTGTTTGACATTATTTTGTGTTGGTTAAAATTTTTCAATGTTTTTTTGGCATTGTTTCGATAATTAATTTTGAATAGAAATTTTAAAAAATAATTGAATTTTATTTTATTTTAAATTGAAAACTTGGTAAATAATTGAATTTTAAATTGAAAATTTGAAAATAATTTAATTTTAGTTGATTGTTGATTGAAAATTTGAAAATAATTAATTTTAGTTGATTGCTGATTGAAAATTTTGATAATAATTAATTTTGACTCGAAATTTTGGAAAATAATAAAATTTTAATTGAAATTTTGGATAATAATTTAATTTAAGTTCATTTTTAATTGAAAATTTCGATAATTAATTTTGAATAGAAATTTTAAAAAATAATTGAATTTTATTTTATTTTAAATTGAAAACTTGGTAAATAATTGAATTTTAAATTGAAAATTTGAAAATAATTTAATTTTAGTTGATTGTTGATTGAAAATTTGAAAATAATTAATTTTAGTTGATTGCTGATTGAAAATTTTGATAATAATTAATTTTGACTCAAAATTTTGGAAAATAATAAAATTTTAATTGAAATTTTGGATAATAATTTAATTTAAGTTCATTTTTAATTGAAAATTTCGATAATTAATTTTGAATAGAAATTTTAAAAAATAATTGAATTTTATTTTATTTTAAATTGAAAACTTGGTAAATAATTGAATTTTAAATTGAAAATTTGAAAATAATTTAATTTTAGTTGATTGTTGATTGAAAATTTGAAAATAATTAATTTTAGTTGATTGCTGATTGAAAATTTTGATAATAATTAATTTTGACTCAAAATTTTGGAAAATAATAAAATTTTAATTGAAATTTTGGATAATAATTTAATTTAAGTTCATTTTTAATTGAAAATTACGATAATTAATTTTGAATAGAAATTTTAAAAAATAATTGAATTTTATTTTATTTTAAATTGAAAACTTGGTAAATAATTGAATTTTAAATTGAAAATTTGAAAATAATTTAATTTTAGTTGATTGAAAATTTTGATAATAATTAATTTTGACTCGAAATTTTGGAAAATAATTGAATTTTAATTGAAATTTTGGATAATAATTTAATTTAAGTTGATGTTGAATTAAAATTTCGGGTAATATTTGAATTTTATTTAATTTTAAATTGAAAACTTGGTAAATAATTGAATTTTAAATTGAAAATTTGGAAAATAATTCAATTTTATATATAATTTAATAATATATAATAATAATTTTCATTATTATCATTTAATATGAAATAATATTCTAATAAATTTAAATTATTATTGATAATATTAATCTTTAATTTCTTTATAACAAACAATTAAATACTCAATTTGGCGCGCTTGCGCGCGTTTAATATTGCTAGTTCTATTATTAATCTTTTGTGATTTTAATTATTATTTAATGAGAGAATTTAATACCTGTACAGATGGCGGTTGTTGAGGTGTTGGTTGAGCAACATTTGCATTGGTTCGTCGCTTTTTCTTCGGATTTGCACCAGCAGGAGGAGGTGGAGGAGGATGAGGGTGAGACGAGGATTCAGGATGAGGCCCACCAGGACCCATTCCTACCCCCATACCCATTCCTCCTAAAGGCATCCTAGCAAAGGGTGGCATGCCTGCAATATTGTGGGTCATTTCCTTCTCTTCTCTTCCTTATTTTATCATGCCTTGTCAGTAGCACAGTGGCTTTGATGATTCCATATACTCAGAATACTAAAAAAAAAAAATTCATTATTTATCTTACTTTTTAGTTTTTTTCAACTCATCCATCTTATTTATCGCATACACAATCCATCATGTTCCATAAGTTTGCTATAAACTTTTCAAATTTTAAAAATTAATTTCTTTTTATATTGAATAATTCTAAAATTGAAAAAAAAATTTTTATTAAATATTTATTCATTAATTTATAATTTTAAAGCATTTAGAAACTTTTATAATCTTTGTAATTAATGGAAACAAAAAAAACCTATTATTCCAAATTTCCCGCCATTAATCCTTTCATTTAATTCCAATTAAAAAGTAATTTACCCAAATCTTTAGAATTAGAAACGCTAATTTTATTTTTGTTATTAAATCTCAATGTTTTTACAATTATCTAATTTCGCGCATGCATAAATTAACTAAAATTTCTATTTAATTTAAAAGAAAATCTCGATTTTTAGAATATTTCAAGTGCAATTCAAGGTCAACTAATCATAATTTTCTAAATCTTCTTTTTTTCCCCCGAGTACCTATTTTAACAAAAAAAAAGTCTCAAATTTATACACCCATAAAAAACTTTTTCCATTGAAAAGAAAATTTGAAAATAGTAAAAAACTCCATAAAATAATAATAGAAAAATATAGAATTTTATAAAGACTTGTTTTCAGTAACAGAAATACGGATTTTTAATTTAAATTTCCAGGGGAAAAAAAAAATTGTCTCTTTTTTTTTATCGATGTCGACCTTATTTGCATCTTGACACAGGAGCAAGGAACACAAGATGAACAAAAACAACTATACAGTTCATATACGCATCGAACTGGCTTCTCTGTGTTGGAGGTTGGTACGCGTAGGTGGTAAAGTGTATTTATATGCACGCATATAAATAAATAAGTCGACTATCGATGCTTCGCGGCGACGGAAGCGGGGTGTGATAAAAGCCACGGGACCCGCTTGAATTGCAACAAAGCTGCAAAGCCCCGGTACAGCTACAGTAAATTAAAAGAAAAGAAGAAAAAAAAAAAAAAAAAGAAAAGCAAAATAAGCATCGCCGATGCCAGTTCCCGGAACCAACCTAACCTACAGATTTTTATGAATGCATTCACATTAGCTTATCAAAATTTACGCGCTCTTATCTTATTAAATAATATACAAATACATTGGAATATTTATTAAAAAAAATACTTACTCAAACATTATAGATGAAAATTTAATTCCTTATACATTGTTCTTTTCTCTTTTCGGCAAAGACAGTTACCATTGAAATTTATGTTGTCCACCAGCCAAATGCCTTTGATAAGAATAATGCTTCTTCCTTTAGGTCCAGACTTTCTAAATTAACTCACATATTTCACATATACACAATAAGTCACTGGTTTCACTTGTTTTATTAAAATAATGTTGTAAAATTCACAAATTTTTAAATTATTTATTGGGATAACGCACGCCAGTATATCAAGTCGCCATTGTCGCGTTTCACGTGTCAATGTAGTGGTAGATCTGTACGTGTGAAAAAAAGTGTCGAACTTTTGGTACGCGCAATATTTACGAGGTGGCGCCACATGTCACATTCCTACGAACAAAAAGACCCTATTTATTCTCGCGCGAAAGTATAAATGAAAAATAATTATTTATTATTATTATTTTTTTTAGGGGGTAATAATAAATAATTATTTATAATTTATTGTATTGTGAAATTTTAAGTAACGTGATATTGTATTTTTAGCTAATAGTACGTATTTGTTATTCGTGTATAATAGTGTCGGGATTGATTACACAGCTGTTGGTAGGGTAGTCTAAGCGCAGGCAAATTATTATATTATTTATTTAACAGAAAATTCGTTTTTTTTTCTAATTTTTTATTCTTTATTTAAAATGAAAAAGAAAGAGAATTTTATTGAATTTTCAATTTTTTTTTGAAAAAGGTTTATATTTTCAGAATAAAAAAAAAATTGAGTCCTAAAATAAAGTTATATCAGTTTCGCCTGTAAAAGCATTTTAAATAAGATTAATAATCTATTTAAAAGTTCGTTAAAAGCCGAAATAGACACACACCAAAGTGAAAATAGAAATTGTTTTATAAAAAAATAGAGAAAATATTGTATTGTTAATAAAATAAAAAATGCATTGAAAATTAGTTTTTAAATATTTAATAAAATATTTCAAGTTTATATTTATTTATGTTAATTTTTATTTTTCAATAAAATAATTCTGAAATGTTCTTTTAAAATAGAAAACCTTTTTTTTATTTTAATTAATATTAAAGAATATAATTATTATAATTAATATTAGATTTACTATTATTCTATAATAATTATTTATAAATAATTATATTAAATATATTATATTATATAATATAATTAATTTTTTAATTTTTTCATTATATCTTTTATATTTTTATACTTCAAGGGTTCTTTTAAAACACGTGTACTTAAATAAATAAATAAATAAATAATATTAAATATATATTAATTATATTATATAAATAATTATTTAAAATAATTAGGTATATATAATAATTATTTATAAATAATTATATTATGTAATTATTATTATTTTATAATAATTATTATATTACAAATATTTAAATATTTTTTTTTATAAAATAAATTATATTTTAAATAAATAAATATTGAATAAACAATTAGAAATAAATTTTTTTAAGTGAAAAATAAATGAAAAAAAAGATACGTTAATTATGTATATATATATATATGACAAAAGGTTAATCGCAAAATGCAAATGCATGGAAGAACTCGAATAAGTGGCACATTACAGTTTTAAAGTTCTAACTAACAGTAGAAAATGAGTTTCGTTATATTCCATGCACGAGATCAGCGTTGTTTTATGTTAGAATTAATGAAGCCGTTTATTTTAATTAATATCTGTACAAGTCAAGTATACCGATTATCCAATTCTGATAAAAGATGTTATTAAAAATTATTTATATATTATCTGATAATTTTGCACCAAAAAAGAAAATTATTTTTTCATTAAAAGAGATTTTCGTTTTTCATTCATATATAAAGAAAAAAAAATTTACTTTTTAGAATGCAATTTTTTTAAATTTTTTTTAGGCAAATATTTGTTTAGATTATTCGCATATTTGTAATTTTGAAAGTTTAATCAAGCAGGTACTCTATTTAATTAAAGTTCCTTGAGTAGCAATTGAGAGGCCGTGCACACAGAAACTAATATATCGGCCCAACAGTACAGGTTAAACTAAACTTTAAGTTGCTTAACAATTATGGAACTCCTCCCCAAACTGCTTCAACCAAATTAGGTACAAAGCATATAGTGCTATTATGTTTGTGCAAAATCGGTCTAATTAATTTTCATAAAATGAGCCGATTTTTTTTTTTCGTTTAATAAAAATCGGTTCGTGATCGTTAAACATAATATTGATATTAATAATATTTCATTCGTATTTTTATTATTATTATTATTATTATTTTTATATTATTATTAATTTTTAATAAATTTTTATATTCTTATTATTATTTTATTAATTATTATTAAATATTGATTAATATTAAATTATTATTTTTATATTTTAATTTTTAATAAATTTTTATATTCTTATTATTATTTTATAAATTATTATTAATTATTAATTAATATTAAATTATTATTTTTATATTATTATTAATTTTTTATTAAATTTTTATATTCTTAATTTTATTTTACTAATCCTATTGTTATACTATTATTAATAATTTATTAATATATTTTTTTATTAGTTTTTTATTATTTTTTTATTAATAATATTTTATTAATGTAATTGCAAATTTGAAGGTATCAAATTGTAGCGAATTCATACAAATATTTGTATCAAATAATTTGATTCGAATATTGCTATTAATTTGATCCAATTCGGTATCCACTTGATACCTTTGAAAAAAATTCAAAAACACAAAATATATAATTAATATTAATTATACAAGTAATTAATCGAGTATTAATCGAGTATTATAATTATATTATTTAATTATTTACTTTTATATATTTACTATTATTGCTATTTCCTATTCGACTATTTATTTACAGTATTTTAAAAATTCAATTTCACTTCATACATTTTCTTCCCTTTTTTTCCTAATTTAAAAAAAAATTAAATTGCTTTGTCAAAACTTATTTTGTTAAAAGTTTCAGTTATTATTATATTTTGAAAATCTAACTATCGAAGGAAATGAAACGTAAATTGTTTTTCTCCAAAATTCAATTATTTTGTTAAAAAAAAAAAAGTTCTAAAAAGCTTATAAATAATTTGAAAAAAAAATTTTTTGTTTATTATCAAAAAAAATGGCAATTATTTTTTAAATATAAATTTTTATTTATTTATATAAAATATAGGTCAGTGGAGAAAAAGGACATGTTTACACTTTTGCGAGTAAAAAAATAGAAAAAAAAAAAAAAAAAAAATAGGTGGCAATCGAAGGTACACAAATGGATTCCACAAATAGCAACATTCGACAAACATAAACGATGTGCAAATCAATCTCTTGTGTGGTTGCGTGCTCTGAATAAGAAATAAGTGCTTAAAGGACTTTTTTTCATTTCTCTCGATACGACCGATTTACTTCCAAGTATACCTAAAGTCTCAGGATTTAATCCTAAAAAATACCTAAATCCTTATATATAATATATATAACGTATAATTTTTTTTTTTTTTTGCTCTCAACAAAAAATTGTTTTAATAGTTTTTTGTTTTAAATCACTTTTTTAAATTAAGTTAAATTTTTTTTATTATTATACTATTATTATACTATATATTATTATATTATTATACTATTTAAATATTTAATTTCAATTATTTAAATAATAAATAAATAATACAGCGAAATTTTTTTTTTTGTATAAAAATTATAATTGAAAAAAATTTCATTTTTTTATTTTTTGCTTTATCGATTATTTTATTATTTTTCTGTTTTTCAATTTATTTATTTATTTTTATTATTGTTTATTTATTGTTAATTTTAAATAGCGTTTCAATTTTATCACTCGATTATTGATTATTAATTATTTATTTAATTTTACTGAAAAAAATTTTATTAATGCCCAAAAAAAATAGTTTTGAAAATATTTAACCTTTTTTTTTCTCTTTTTTTTTAAACAACATTCTTAAACTACAGGTGATAACATCTCAAATTATCGAGGTGTTTATCTTTGAGTATATAGCGCAACTATTGCAGTATTTATATTCTAGATCCAATTATTTAATGTAAATGGATTATTCAATACACGTAATCGGGTTTCCGGGATATATGGGAATCGATGGACGCGAGTGGAATACGAAAGAATTGAATGAGTTATAAAATTCATTTTTATTGCAATCGTATTCAACCAATTCTCTCTCTCTCTCTCACTCACTCGCTCTTTTTTTTCCATATCTTTTCAAACTTTCGACAGGATTCACCTTTTGCAAATTCTTAATTAAAGAGCACATTTCATATAGAAGAATATATTTTTTTTTCCTCACGCGACAAGAAAATTTTCTCATGCTTTTTTTTCTTCAATAAAGAATTTTTTTTAAATTTAACTTTAAAATTTCTCATGTAGAAAAAGATTAGATCGCGTATGTTTATTATTGGTAATAAAAAAATAACACATACTTTATGATTAAAAAAAAAAAAATTAAAATTTATTCTTTTTGAAATATTTGGAAAATTATTATATTTATTGTAAAAAAAAAGAAATTAAATTATAATTATGGGGATTTAATGGATAAAAAAAATTTATTATAAAAAAGAAATTGAATTTATTGGAAATAAAAAAAATTCCCACTTAAGAAAAAACATTAAAATTATTATTTTTTTCAAAATATTTATTTATTTTTTTTTAATAAAAAAAGAAATTAAATTCCTATATTATGGATTTAATAATAATGAAGTATTTAGTTGTAAAATTATAATTTAAAGAGATTGTTTGAGAAAATGCTTTAATTATACAAAAACAAAAGTTCTTTTTTTGAAAGAATTTGAGATTAAAAATCAAGGGAAATATTAATAATAACGTATATATATATAACGTTGTATAATATATAGATTATAAAGTATATTGTATATAGAAAGGGGTGAAGATAACAAAAACATCAAAGTAATTATCTTCTCTTTGTATACGACAAGCTCATAAAATGAATTTAATATCTCTTAGATATTATAAACGCAGAGAAGCATCTCTCTCTCCTTTAGAAAACAGATATATGAGTAGGTTCTATATAGAAACGAAGGAAATTTCAGTAACAGCTTATTTTGAATATATATATATATATATATACAACATAAAATTTTGGAAAATAAAATTCAATTTTTACATTAATATGTGCAAAATTAAAAAATATTAAATTAAAAGCAAAAAAAAATGGAAAATTATTCCTGAATTAATTTTTGGAAAGTTGTTTTACCAGTTTCAAGTTTATGCAACATGTACCCGCACATTGTATATCTTTAATAAATGAATTCTATTTTTAACTATTCAATTGTTTTTTCTTTTTAATTCAATGGCTAAATTATTTTCAAATGAAAAACATAAAAAAATAATAATAATAAAAATAAATAATAATAATAATAATAATAATAATAATAATAATAATAATAAAAATAGCAATAATAATAAAATCATGTAAAAAAAAGTAATGTTTAATATATCAGTTTTAAAGCATTGATTCTTTTTTTTTCCTTATTTTAAGAACACACGAACAATGACTATATTGTCTGAGAGAACAATTACTGCTCGTGAAAGTGTTGTTCGACCATTTCTAAAGAAAATTTACTAACACGTTATGTATATAATCGAGTAAAAAACCAAAGAAAGGAAATTGAAGAAAAAAAAAGTAAGTTTTTCCATTTAGCTTTTTAGAATAATTTTAATTCTTTTTTTCGATATAATTTATTAGAAATAAATAAATTGTATTTGAACCAATAATTTCTATATATTTGAAACAAATACGATTTAATTGATTCGAATAATAATTAGTTAGTTCAAGTAAATATTTATTTGCTTTAAAATCAAAATTATTAGGTTCAATATAAAATTTTATTAGGTTAAACAAAAATTATTTGGTTCAAGTAAATATTTATTTGGTTCAAATGAAAATTATTTGGTTCAAATAAATATTTATTTAGCTCAAATCAAATTTATTTGGTTCAATATAAAATTTTATTAGGTTAAATAAAAATTATTTGGTTCAAGTAAATATTTATTTGCTTTAAAATCAAATTATTTGGTTTAAGTTAATATTTATTTGGTTCAAATGAAAATTACTTGGTTCAAATAAATATTTATTTAGCTTAAATCAAATTTATTTGGTTCCATATAAAATTTTATTGTGTTAAATAAAAATTATTTGGTTCAAAAAAATATTTATTTGGTTCAAATTAAAATTATTTGGTTCAAGTAAATATTTATTTGCTTTAAAATCAAATTATTTGGTTCAAGTAAATATTTATTTGCTTTAAAATCAAATTATTTGGTTTAAGTTAATATTTATTTGGCTCAAATGAAAATTATTTGGTTCAAGTAAATATTTATTTAGCTCAAATCAAATTTATTTGGTTCAATATAAAATTTTATTGGGTTAAATAAAAAATTATTTAGTTCAAGTAAATATTTATTTGGTTCAAATCAAAATTATTTGGTTCAAGTAAATATTTATTTGCTTTAAAATCAAATTATTTGGTTCAATATAAAATTTTATTGGTTTAAATAAAAAAGAAAAACGTTATTTATTTGGTGAAAAAAATATAGTTATTTCAAACAAAAATTTGTCTGGTACCAAATAAATATTTATTCGATCCAAATAATCGTTTGCTTTTTATTAATAAATTTTTCACCCAAAGAAAAAATTGAACCAAATAAACTTTTTTATTGATTTTAATCCATTTTTTGTTAATTCTAAATTGACAAAGAAAAATTTCAAATATTATTTCTATCCTTATCCAAATTATAAAATAAATATATAATTAAATTAAAAATCTCATTTGGAGGGTCTCTTCTTTACTCAAAAATATAAACGATGATTTATTGTATATTAGCATATAGTAATTAATCTTCCAAAAAAAAAGGGGAAGAAAAAAAAAATGTCAAACGTGATTGACGAGCAGGTACAAAAAAAAAAATCTTTCTCTCTTTTTTATTTAAAAAAAAGAGGAAAATGACACAAAGTGTCAATATAGAGTTAGAGAATAAAGAAGTTCAAAGAATTATTGCCAGGACGTTTCTGATGCCATAAGAGTGAAATTTTTTTTTTCTTTTTTTTTTTTTTTTTGCTGGTGTGAGCGAAAGGGGCGACCGGTAACTTTCTCGGAAGGCATTTTTCGTCTACTCTTCGATACCTATATATATATATATATATATGTATAACAAATGGAGATATTGAAAGAAAGCGATTTTTGACTTGTGCCCCATGGGTGGGATATATGCACACGTGTGGAATTGAGTGACTGGATGGAATTTACGATTGTATATACATATATATATATATATATATATATATAAATTCGATTACACACGCACACTTTCATATTTATCGCACTATAGTAACAGGGAGGAAAGCTGAGAGAGACCGCGGACCCAGTGCGTCTCTAGATTTCGTGCCGAGAAGACCAAAAAACCAACTTATAAATTCTCGACTTTTTTTTTGCGTCATCTTTCATTTCCTTTATATATATCTCTCTCTCTTTTTCTTTTTCTTTCTTTTCTCCCCTTTTTTATTCTCATTTTCTTCCACCTGTTACGTACACCCTTTGGATCAAGTGAAAAGAATTGCGATAAATCTTGTTTGAAATTCAAAAATCGAGTAATCGTGAAATTGACCATATCAAACTATATAGATATATATATATATTAGGAACCCTTGGAAAGCGTTTGTCACCACCCTTCGGCACGCTCTTGTATTTCACCATGACTTTATTAATCAAGGTAAGTGACGGAAGCGCAACAAGTTGATGTCTACCTATGTGTTTACTGCTCGAGTGTCAAACGTCAAGACAGGTCGATATATTTTACCCGAGGAATATATACATATATATATATTTTAGTCTTGTTTGATAATCAACTTTCTAAATTCGATACTTTGTATTTGTTTTAATTAGAATTTTTTTTTTTTTTCAATCAATTTTTAATTAATTTTCTTTATTTATTTATCTAATTAAATATAATTTTAATAATTATAATTCTAAAATGAAAAATTTTAATTTAACCGAAATTATAAATAAACAAATGGCGCGAATTTTAAAAATTGATACACGGAAATAAAATTTAACTGAAACAGCGAAAGGTTTCACTATACAATAGCGAAAGATTTTATTGAAACAAGTAAAACTTTTGCCATTATAGTGAAACTTTTTGCTGTTCCAGGTAAATCTTTTTTAGAATAACAGAAATTTTCGCTGTTTTAGTGAAATATATCGCTGTTACAGTTAAACTTATCGCTGCTCCAGGTAAATATATTTTCCATGCAGGGAAAAAATTTTCACCTAAAACAGCGATAAGTTTAACTAGAACAGCGATATATTTCACTGAAATAGCGAAAGTTTTCGTTATTCTAGAGAAATATATCCCTGTTACAGTTAAACTTATCGCTGCTCCAGGTAAATCTATTTTCCATGCAGGGAAAAAATTTTCACCTAAAACAGCGATAAGTTTAACTAGAACAGCGATATATTTCACTGAAATAGCGAAAGTTTTCGTTATTCTAGAGAAATATATCGCTGTTACAGTTAAACTTATCGCTGCTCCAGGTAAATCTATTTTCCATGCAGGGAAAAAATTTTCAAAACAGCGATAAGTTTAACTAGAACAGCTATATATTTCACTAAAATAGCGAAAGTTTTTGTTATATTCTAGAGAAATATATCGCTGTTCCAGATAAAGATTTTTTTTTTCATGACGTAATTATTTCTCTGGTGATTAATTTTTAAATAACGCCAAAATTTTTTGTTTATTTTTAAAAATACAAATAGAAATTAATTAATTTTTTTTATTCAATTATTAGAATTAGAATTCTTTTAAATGAAAATATAGAAATTCTATAAAAAAATTAACACTTTGTTAAATTTAAATTTGGTTAAATAAATATTGTGTTAAATAAGAAATTTACTAAATGAAAAATAACGAAAAAACTGGATAATTCAAATTTAGAAAAAAATAACTTTTTTCATATTGAAAATTTAAATATTTTTTATCACCAGATTCAATTATATTTCTATTAAAAGTTTATAACAATATTTCGAGTAATTTTCAACTTGTTTTTATCAAAGCTTTATGTAACAATCTTGTTAAAACTTTAACTTTCATGTATAAACAAAACTTAATTATTTCTGTTAAATCTCAACTGCATATTTTTGTTAGAATATATATAATAAAATATAGAATAGAATATATAATAAAATATATAATAAAATATATAATAAAATATATAATAAAATATATAATAAAAAATATAATAAAAAATATAATAAAATATATAATAAAATATATAATAAAATATATAACAAAATATATAATAGAATATGTAATTGAATATTTATCAAAATATATTTATATTTATTTTCAAAAATAATTTATTTTTTATATTATTTATTAATTATAATTATAAGCATAAAATATATAATTACAAAATTATATATATATATATTTATTTAATCTTCCTACATGAAGGAGGATAATTATAATATAAAAAAATTTAATATAATAAAATATTTTTAATTTAATTTTTAATTTAATTTTTAATTTTTATTTTATTAATTAATTATATTAGATAGAATTTTATATATTAAAATATATAATAAAATATAAATTAAAACTCTATATACACATATAAAAACTTCAAATATTTTTTTAAAATTAAAAACAATGTTGAACTCGAATAATGATTGATTGAAAAAAAAACTTTAATTAAAACTTTGTTATATTTCACTTGAAAATATATCGATTCAATTAATTATTGAAATATTTTTTAATAAGATAAAATTAAAAATTCCATATAAAAAACTTTTTTTTAAAAAGCAATTTGAAATTGAAAAAAAAATATGTTTCATTTATATAAAGTCTATTTAAACAGAGAAAAATATAAATAATTCTGAGTGTGTATATATAAATATTTATAAAATTGAAAGCAATGCTCGTAATGTATGCAATATTGTATCCAATCATATATTCTATTATTAATAATAACTTTTTCTGCGATAATGCAAAAAAATGCTTTTTGCGTAAACACACACAAACACACGATAGGAAAGGTAAATAAATTATTCATCATAATGAGACAATGATTGACCCATTTGCGGACAATATTGTTTCTCATATATATATATATATATATATTTACTGTTATCTAAAACAATAATATATAGCATTTCTAATTAAAAAAGTGGGAAGAAAATTTATTTTTCGTCATCATAAATAAATTCATTATAGTTGAACAAATTTAATGCAAATTGAATAAATTAAATAATTAAATTAATTAAATAAATAGAATTTAATGCAAACTAAATATACAGAGTGATTTTTATGTTCCGGATCCCCTAAAAAGTTTTTTAATTTTCATTTTATTTCGTTTTTTAAATAAAAATAGAATTAAAAAAAAAAAAATTTCAGTGGGTCCGGAACATAAAAATCACCCTGTATAAATAGTATTTAATATGATTAAATATGTAAATAGAATTTCATATGAATAAATATATAAATTATTTTTTATCATAATAATAAATAAATTCATCATATATAGTTGAATAAATTTAATATTATAATTATAAATAAATAAACATATAAATGTTATATAAATAATAAATAAATAAATAATAAATGAATATATAAACAAAATTTAATGTAATTAAGTTAAATTTGCTTTTAATTTAATAATTAAACAATTATGCGCTTATCTTTTACAATTAAAATACCTCCAATTTTATTCTGTGAAAAATAAAATTGTAGCAATTCAATGAAATCTCCTTGATGATAGTGTGCTCTATTAAGAAAATGTTTTAATTAAATAATTTAATTAACATTTTTTTTGAATTAACGAAACTAAAAATTTTCATCATTTAGTAAGCATATGATAATATTAATATTATAGTTAAAATAATTAGTATTATAATTATAATAATTATTGCCATAATATTATAAGAATTATTACTATAATTATAATAATTACGACTATAATATTATAATAATTATAACTATAACATACTAATTAATTAATTATTTATTTATATTTATTTACTCTCCCACCTTGCAAAGAAAAAAATTAATTATTTATTTATTAATTATTCATTAATTATTAATAATTTAGTTATTTTAACAATTAATTTATTAAAACAAATAAATATTTTATTTTGAACAATTCAGTAAACAATATAAATTATATAGTTATTGAAACTCCGAAAATTTAAACCTGTTACACACATCATCGATATGAAGATTTATTGTGATTAAGACACATTCAGCTATATATTTGGAAAATTAATTTCCATTCCCATATTGTAATAGAAAATCTATATATCCATTGTTATATATATATATAACTTGCACTCGATTATATTGTGAATATATGTTTAATATACATATGTGAGAAAACAATGGTTAATAAAATAACATGATTTTAAACAATTTGGAATTAGTGTTTGTAATGATAAGTTTAGATGGGGAATATTATCCACATATATATATAATATATATATGATAGAGGGAGAGAGATGAGGAGAATCGTGTGTGACAATGAATTGTGCATTGTCGATACAATGCGTAATGAATCATCGTGATTGCAGCACACAGTCGTATACAATTGGATATAGCGTATATATATAGCTGAGAAAGTCAATGAGGTTCGATCGCCTATGAATAAGTGTATACGTTTAGCATTCCACTCAGATAGGAGACATGATATAAATTATATTCCTGATCTCTCTCTCTCCCTCTCTCTCTCTTTCCAAATGCATTTGTAATAATTTGATTTGCAAGACTTTCTGCATGTATATGAAAAAAATATTACACTTCATTAAAATCCAGGTCACATTTGGATATATTTTACATCTCATTAATATATTGAATAATTTTTCCGCGTACAAACTCTCTCGTCGTATATAATATGCCCTTTTTTTATATAATATTTTTCATTAACGTTTCAACCCTTTTTGCAAAATATGAAAAAAATATTCAGCTAATTAAAATACTTTTTATTTAAAAAAAGAAAATTCAGTGAAATTATTTTATAAAAATATTAATAGGATATTTTAAATTCATATTGATTTTAGTATTTTTATTTTACTTTATTTTTTTTATTATAATAATAAAATAATAATACTTATTATTATAATTATTTATTTATAATTATTTATTTGTAATTATTTATATTAATATTATTATTTATTATTTATAATAATTATTATTATTATATTTATTTTATTATATCCTCATTTGGTTTTTTACAAATTCCTTAACACAAAAATATTGTACATTTCCTTACTGTTATTATATTTATTAATAGGTAATTAATATTTTATCTATTTATTATTATTAAAAAAAAATTTATTTCTTCCTTGTTATAAGTTTCACAATATATTATTTCCCATCAATTTCCCCTTATTTTTTAACAATTAAATTGTTTATAATAAATATTTATTTATTACTAATATTTATAACTAATAAATTTACCTCTAAATAATTAGAATATAAATAAATAAATTAATAAATAAATTAATAAATAAATTAATTAATAAATAAATAATAAATATAAATAAATAAATTAATAAATAAATTAATAAATAAATAATAAATATAAATAAATTAATTAATAAATAATTAAATTTTAAATTTACCTATACTTATAAATAATAAATTTATTTATAGATAATAAATAAGTATAACAAATATAATATACTAAATAATTATAATATAATAAACTACCTATTTGGACTTTATATTATAAACAATTAAATTGTTAAAAATAAGACGAAATTAATGGGGGATAATAATTGTAAAACTTAAAAATTGTGCAATGGAAATAAATTTATCCTATCTTATAATATAATAAACAAATATGATATAATAAAAAAATTTAATATAATAAAAAAATTTGATATAATAAAAAAATTTGATATAATAAATAAATTTGATACAATAAACAATTATAATATAATAAATAAATATGATACAATAAATAAATATAATTTAATAATTAAATATGATGCAATAAATAAATATTATATAATAAATATAGTATAATAAATATTTATCTACAATAAATAAATAAAAATAAATTATAAATAAATTAATAAATAAATTTATCTTTTTTTACATTAAAAAAAAATTTCATCAATATTCCATTTTTTTTTTCTTTCAGCACACGGAATAAAAAATGCAAAAGTAGATAACAAAATTTATCCCCTCCTTTATATATATTGTGTTAGAACAAGTAAAAAATTACCATAATTTTTGTACAAAAGAATTCAATGTGTCGTCGTATACGCGAGCACATTTTTCATTCTCTCTCTCTCTCTCTCTCTTCCCCTCTCCCTCAATTTTTCTTCTCAATATACATCTTTCAGCGCAGCATCTTTAATATCTTTATCCTGTCATTTGAATTTTCTTATACTCCATTTCCGAATAGCATACGCCAGCTTCCTAATGTGCTGTATTTTCCCATTCGAGATATATATCTCGTACTTTCACCCCAACACCATTGTAATATATATCCCATATCTTTCGGCCCCTTTCTCTCTCTCTCTCTTTCTCTTTTTCTCAATTCTGATTTCTTAGCCATGTTCACTCTCTTACACATCTTTTTATTTACACATATGGAGAAAAAAGATAAGAAATTATATAAAATCAAGTTAATTATAAATAAATATATTTATAGAGAGAGAGAGAGAGAGAAAGAGATAAATATTTTGGATGCAGGAAGTTGGAAACTGCGTTAATTGATGGACGTTCGTGTTTGGACACAATTCTACGATTCATCGAACGAAAGTGATATATGTTTCAAGGTATCGAGTATTAATGGGAAAACCATTAGTATCCTCTACGACTACCATAAAATATAATGGTGCTCACGGGAATGTGTATACCTACGCAAAGAGAGAGAGAGAGAGAGAGAGAGAGAGAGAGAGAGAGAGTACTATATATTTTACGAGCACCTTAATACTTGGACCACCAACCCCGACGGTGCAAAAGGACATTTCAATGCTCTCCTATAATTAAAATAACTACTTTATTTCACTTCAAACTCAATTTTTTTCATTTTCACTTTTTCGCATTACATTGCGTGTTACTTTTCATGATTCATGTTAATCCAATATGTAATTTCGCAGGCGCTGCTTTTTTTTATGTGATATAAATTCTCGTTTAAATATGTTTCATTTCATTTTCGATCGTTCATATTTTTATTGTAAATGCCGTTTTAATTTAAAAAAAAAAAAAAAATTATTTCCATCTCAATATTAACGTTTTATTAACCAGTTGGAAATTTTTAAATCTATTTTTAATTGTTTTTTTTGTGTATTACTTTATAAAAGTGTGTTTAAGATTTTAATAAACAAAATAGATAAACAAATAAAAGAGATAAATAAATAAAATAGTTAAACAAATAAAAAATAGATAAATAAAAAAACATTTAAACAAATAAAACAGTTAAACAATTAAAAAAGATAAGTAAATAAAATAGATAAATAAATAAAATAAATAAATAAAATATTTAAACAAACTAAATAATTAAAAAAATTAAATAGTTAAATAAATAAAATAGATAAATAAATAAAATATTTAAACAAATTAAATAGTTAAAGAAATAAAATTATTTAAACAATTAGAATAGATAAATAAATAAAATCGTAAAACAAATAAAATAGATAAGTAAATAAAAACGTTAAACAAATAAAATAGATAAATAAATAAAATATTTAAACAAATTAACTAGTTAAAAAAATAAAACAGATAAATAAATAAAATATTTAAACAAATTAAATAGTTAAACAAATAAAATTATTTAAACAATTAGAATAGATAAATAAATAAAAACGTTAAACAAATAAAATAGATAAATAAATAAATAAAATATTTAAACAAATTACATAGTTAAACAAATAATAACAAAGTAAATAGTTAAAAAAATTAAAGAGATGAATAAATAAAAAAGTTAAACAAATTAAATATGTAAACAAATAATAACAAAGTAAATAGTTAAAAAAAATTAAAGAGATAAATAAATAAAATAGTTAAACAAATTAAATATGTAAACAAATAATAACAAAGTAAATAGTTAAAAAAATTAAAGAGATAAATAAATAAAATATGTAAACAAATAATAACAAAGTAAATAGTTAAAAAAATTAAAGAGATAAATAAATAAAATAGTTAACCAAATTAAATATTTAAACAAATAATAACAAATTAAATAGTTAAACAATTATAATAGATAAGTAAATAAAATAGATAAATAAAATAAATAAACAAAATATTAAAAAAAAACTAAATAATTAAAAAAATAAAATAGTTAAACAAATTAAATAGTTGAACAAATAAATGAATTAAATAAATAAAATTATTTAAACAATTAGAATAGATAAATAAATAAAATGGTTAAACAAATAAAATAAATAAAACAGTTTAACAAATAAAAAAGGTAAATAAAATCGTTAAACAAATAAAATAGATTAATAAATAAAATAAATAAATAAATAAAATACTTAAACCAATTAAATAGTTAAAAAAATAAAATAGTTAAATAAATAAAATAAATAAATAAAGTAGTTAAAATAAAAATTAGATAAGAAATAAAACATAAAAATAGATGCCAATTTTCATTTTTTGAATATTTTTGTTTTTTTAATGTAAAATTATACTAATTCGCTCCTATCTCTTTCTCTCTCACTCTCTTTAAATGCAGACATTGTAAATGCATCGCAAAGAGAGTGCTAGATTTGCGTGTCCTTGACAGGCGATATTTCAAAAAAGGACCCATACTTAATTATACACGAGGTCGTCATTAGTGTTTTATACTCTAGTCGTGTCTTGAAAATAAGTCACATTCAGAAATTATTATTATTATTTATAAATTCAAACTGTTATACAATCATTTTTTTTCCTAATACGTTTTCTTAATTCATTTTATACTATTTTCCTTAAGATTAAAAATGTTTAAAAGAAACTTTAATTTAATGAAAATTAAAGCGTTCAAAGGAATAAAAAATTATTTTTTGGTTTGTTTAAAAAAAAAAAAATTATGAAAAAATAAAAATTAATTTATTTTTTTTGGATAAACAAATTTTTTTATTTACCTAAACATTCAGAACTTCAGGTACATTAAATAATTTAAAAAAAAAATGTTTCGATTTAAATGTGAATTTATTTTTGTTAAATTAGGTTTTTTAAAAAAAAATTTCGGTTATTAATTAATAAAAAAAAAAATTCTGTTACAGATTTCTTTGATATGTTTAATGATCTATACAGTGATGGTTGAGGGACAACAAAATAAAATTAAAATCACTGAGGAAAATGTAAACATTGCTTTAAATGACACTCGCTATATGAGAAGGCAAATAAACTGCGCTTTGGGGACTATCAAATGTGATCCAATTGGTGGTCGATTAAAAAGTATGTACCCAAAAAAAAAAAAAAAAAATACAAAAATAACTGAAAACATTAAAAAAAAATGTTAAAAATAATAAATAAAAATTAATAATTGTACAATTATTTCAGGTTTAGCACCACTGGTTATAAGAAACAACTGTCCACAATGTAGTCCCGAAGAAATGTATTTCATCAAAAAAGTTTTAGCACACATTCAAAACAAGTTTCCAGAAGAATGGACTTTATTAAGAGCCAAATATCTCAAACCGTAAAAATTGGCAACACAATATGTTGAAATCCTATTTTTTTTTATACAAGTGAGTGAGTGAGAAAATAAAATATTAGAAAAGAAAAAAGAAATGTTTCGAAAGACAAGAGAGTAAAAGAGAGAAGACAGAAAACATTGAGAAAATGTATGTGTGTGTGTGTGTACGTGTGAGAGAGAGGTTCTTGTCAGAATGAGAGAGTGACAGTGAAAGTTGATTGTAAAACTCTTTGGGAATTCCAATAGGAGACGCTAAGTGTCTATATCCGTTTTCAATGACGTTTTAATCTATCAGAATATTTTTCTTCCTTTTTCTTTCCTTTTTTTTTTTAAATAATACCCAGTTTTTTTCATATCATGACGCGATTTCTGTCTCACGATGTCAATAACTTTCAATTATACATTCTCTCTTCTTGAGAAATTTCAAACTTTCTTTTTCAATTAAAATCATAATATCTCTATAATAAACTATGTATAATAATAGTCACAATAATTTGTCAATTTTTTTTTTTTTTGATACCGTTAGTTTTCATATATATGTAATCTACTTTACAATATTTATGTTTTTTTATATGTATTATAATTATGTATGATTGTAGGTAATAAAAAATTGTTGACATGAAAAAATAATTTCACTCTTAATTATATATTTTCCAATTATGTTATTTTCAATAAAACAAATATATAAAATAATCCTATTAAAAATTAACTACTAACTCAGTACTGGCTCGGTATTGGTATCAGTACTGCGCCAGTAGTGAACTCTGCTATTATTAATAATAAAAATACAAAAAAAAGTATAATTAACTATTATTATTTAAGTGATAGATAATAATAATAATTGAATAATAATTTAAAAATAAAGAATAAAAAAAATTTTCTAGTTAAAATTAATAATTAATTAAAATTCATTTGTATATATTGTCAAATTATTATTGTTTGCTTTTAAACGACTCTTGTATTAATAGAGAATGTTAAATACACAGCGTAATTATAATATTCAGAGCAATATCACAAGTTGAAGGAACATTTATCAATTTGAGAAGCATTAAAAAAGTTATTTAACAATTCACTACAAGTGCCATTTAAATTAAAGAGGTCATTGAATGATTTAAACACTGCACACAAGGGTCCTTTCTATTCAAGTACGTATTATAATATTGTATATATATATATATATTATTTACATTTCTGTTGAAATACCAAAATATTGAGCAAATCATTTTCCCAAATTATAATTCCATTATTTTTTAGTTTTTTGCGCAATTTTTTTTTATTTAAAACAAAATGTTTATTCCATACAAAGAAAATAATTGTGAAAATTCAAAAAAATTATTATTATATTAAAAATTGGAATTAAATGACAGAATTTTCTTAAAAAGTAATATTACCATTCAGAGAAATGAGTCTCACAAATAAATATTAATTTGTCACAAAAAAATTTGGTTTTATTTGGTTTCAATTATTTATATTTATTAAATACAAAATTAATAATTAAAAATTAAAAGGAAATAAATAATTAATAACAAAAAAGTACAAGACATTTTTATGCCTGTTCAAGCTCCAGTGCAAATAATAAGTACTTCAAAATTTTCTCCAGTCATTCTAGATGTTTTTTCGGTCGCTAATAAAGGATTTGGGATCAAAACTGACGATTTAGCAGTTTAAAGCTGTCAAAATAGCAAGCAACGGTAAGACTTGTCTGTCTAAAAAAAAAATCTTTTGGGAAGTTGAGGGTTGACTTCAAGGTGGTAATAGGGGTCTACCTCTACTCGGATTTGGCTGTAGATTTTTTTCTACACTTTTAGGTGTATTTTGTGCAAGAATATGCAATAAAATCGTGTGCCTAAGAAAAATTGAGTTTTTTTGGAAATTTTTTTTTTTGACCTGGATGACTTTTTGGTGGTAATAGAGGTCTTCCTCTACTCGGATTTGGCTGTCGATTTTTTTCTACACTTTTAGGTGTATTTTGTGCAAGAATATGAAAAAAAATCGTCTGCCTAAGAAAAATTGAGTTTTTTTGGAAATTTTTTTTTTTGACCTGGATGACTTTTTGGTGGTAATAGAGGTCTTCCTCTACTCGGATTTGGCTGTCGATTTTTTTCTACACTTTTAGGTGTATTTTGTGCAAGAATATGAAAAAAAATCGTCTGCCTAAGAAAAATTGAGTTTTTTTGGAAATTTTTTTTTTTGACCTGGATGACTTTTTGGTGGTAATAGAGGTCTTCCTCTACTCGGATTTGGCTGTCGATTTTTTTCTACACTTTTAGGTGTATTTTGTGCAAGAATATGAAAAAAAATCGTCTGCCTAAGAAAAATTGAGTTTTTTTGGAAATTTTTTTTTTTGACCTGGATGACTTTTTGGTGGTAATAGAGGTCTTCCTCTACTCGGATTTGGCTGTCGATTTTTTTCTACACTTTTAGGTGTATTTTGTGCAAGAATATGAAAAAAAATCGTCTGCCTAAGAAAAATTGAGTTTTTTTGGAAATTTTTTTTTTTGACCTGGATGACTTTTTGGTGGTAATAGAGGTCTTCCTCTACTCGGATTTGGCTGTCGATTTTTTTCTACACTTTTAGGTGTATTTTGTGCAAGAATATGCAATAAAATCGTGTGCCTAAGAAAAATTGAGTTTTTTTGGAAATTTTTTTTTTTGACCTGGATGACTTTTTGGTGGTAATAGAGGTCTTCCTCTACTCGGATTTGGCTGTCGATTTTTTTCTACACTTTTAGGTGTATTTTGTGCAAGAATATGAAAAAAAATCGTCTGCCTAAGAAAAATTGAGTTTTTTTGGAAATTTTTTTTTTTGACCTGGATGACTTTTTGGTGGTAATAGAGGTCTTCCTCTACTCGGATTTGGCTGTCGATTTTTTTCTACACTTTTAGGTGTATTTTGTGCAAGAATATGCAATAAAATCGTGTGCCTAAGAAAAATTGAGTTTTTTTGGAAATTTTTTTTTTTGACCTGGATGACTTTTTGGTGGTAATAGAGGTCTTCCTCTACTCGGATTTGGCTGTCGATTTTTTTCTACACTTTTAGGTGTATTTTGTGCAAGAATATGAAATAAAATCGTCTGCCTAAGAAAAATTGAGTTTTTTTGGAAATTTTTTTTTTTGACCTGGATGACTTTTTGGTGGTAATAGAGGTCTTCCTCTACTCGGATTTGGCTGTCGATTTTTTTCTACACTTTTAGGTGTATTTTGTGCAAGAATATGCAATAAAATCGTCTGCCTAAGAAAAATTGAGTTTTTTTGGAAATTTTTTTTTTTGACCTGGATGACTTTTTGGTTGTAATAGAGGTCTTCCTCTACTCGGATTTGGCTGTCGATTTTTTTCTACACTTTTAGGTGTATTTTGTGCAAGAATATGCAATAAAATCGTGTGCCTAAGAAAAATTGAGTTTTTTTGGAAATTTTTTTTTTTGACCTGGATGACTTTTTGGTGGTAATAGAGGTCTTCCTCTACTCGGATTTGGCTGTCGATTTTTTTCTACACTTTTAGGTGTATTTTGTGCAAGAATATGAAAAAAAATCGTCTGCCTAAGAAAAATTGAGTTTTTTTGGAAATTTTTTTTTTTGACCTGGATGACTTTTTGGTGGTAATAGAGGTCTTCCTCTACTCGGATTTGGCTGTCGATTTTTTTCTACACTTTTAGGTGTATTTTGTGCAAGAATATGAAAAAAAATCGTCTGCCTAAGAAAAATTGAGTTTTTTTGGAAATTTTTTTTTTTGACCTGGATGACTTTTTGGTGGTAATAGAGGTCTTCCTCTACTCGGATTTGGCTGTCGATTTTTTTCTACACTTTTAGGTGTATTTTGTGCAAGAATATGCAATAAAATCGTGTGCCTAAGAAAAATTGAGTTTTTTTGGAAATTTTTTTTTTTGACCTGGATGACTTTTTGGTGGTAATAGAGGTCTTCCTCTACTCGGATTTGGCTGTCGATTTTTTTCTACACTTTTAGGTGTATTTTGTGCAAGAATATGAAAAAAAATCGTCTGCCTAAGAAAAATTGAGTTTTTTTGGAAATTTTTTTTTTTGACCTGGATGACTTTTTGGTGGTAATAGAGGTCTTCCTCTACTCGGATTTGGCTGTCGATTTTTTTCTACACTTTTAGGTGTATTTTGTGCAAGAATATGAAAAAAAATCGTCTGCCTAAGAAAAATTGAGTTTTTTTGGAAATTTTTTTTTTTGACCTGGATGACTTTTTGGTGGTAATAGAGGTCTTCCTCTACTCGGATTTGGCTGTCGATTTTTTTCTACACTTTTAGGTGTATTTTGTGCAAGAATATGAAAAAAAATCGTCTGCCTAAGAAAAATTGAGTTTTTTTGGAAATTTTTTTTTTTGACCTGGATGACTTTTTGGTGGTAATAGAGGTCTTCCTCTACTCGGATTTGGCTGTCGATTTTTTTCTACACTTTTAGGTGTATTTTGTGCAAGAATATGCAATAAAATCGTGTGCCTAAGAAAAATTGAGTTTTTTTGGAAATTTTTTTTTTTGACCTGGATGACTTTTTGGTGGTAATAGAGGTCTTCCTCTACTCGGATTTGGCTGTCGATTTTTTTCTACACTTTTAGGTGTATTTTGTGCAAGAATATGAAAAAAAATCGTCTGCCTAAGAAAAATTGAGTTTTTTTGGAAATTTTTTTTTTTGACCTGGATGACTTTTTGGTGGTAATAGAGGTCTTCCTCTACTCGGATTTGGCTGTCGATTTTTTTCTACACTTTTAGGTGTATTTTGTGCAAGAATATGCAATAAAATCGTGTGCCTAAGAAAAATTGAGTTTTTTTGGAAATTTTTTTTTTTGACCTGGATGACTTTTTGGTGGTAATAGAGGTCTTCCTCTACTCGGATTTGGCTGTCGATTTTTTTCTACACTTTTAGGTGTATTTTGTGCAAGAATATGAAATAAAATCGTCTGCCTAAGAAAAATTGAGTTTTTTTGGAAATTTTTTTTTTTGACCTGGATGACTTTTTGGTGGTAATAGAGGTCTTCCTCTACTCGGATTTGGCTGTCGATTTTTTTCTACACTTTTAGGTGTATTTTGTGCAAGAATATGCAATAAAATCGTCTGCCTAAGAAAAATTGAGTTTTTTTGGAAATTTTTTTTTTTGACCTGGATGACTTTTTGGTTGTAATAGAGGTCTTCCTCTACTCGGATTTGGCTGTCGATTTTTTTCTACACTTTTAGGTGTATTTTGTGCAAGAATATGCAATAAAATCGTGTGCCTAAGAAAAATTGAGTTTTTTTGGAAATTTTTTTTTTTGACCTGGATGACTTTTTGGTGGTAATAGAGGTCTTCCTCTACTCGGATTTGGCTGTCGATTTTTTTCTACACTTTTAGGTGTATTTTGTGCAAGAATATGAAAAAAAATCGTCTGCCTAAGAAAAATTGAGTTTTTTTGGAAATTTTTTTTTTTGACCTGGATGACTTTTTGGTGGTAATAGAGGTCTTCCTCTACTCGGATTTGGCTGTCGATTTTTTTCTACACTTTTAGGTGTATTTTGTGCAAGAATATGAAAAAAAATCGTCTGCCTAAGAAAAATTGAGTTTTTTTGGAAATTTTTTTTTTTGACCTGGATGACTTTTTGGTGGTAATAGAGGTCTTCCTCTACTCGGATTT